AAGGAAGGCAGTGCAGGCTTCAACAGGCCATTATTTATTGGCTTTTTAATTCCTATACTGGACCCCTTAATGCCAAATGTCACCAAAAAGTTCACGCTTTGTTTTTTCCTTCTATTTTTTCCCAAATTTTTTGAACAGTCTTGTATCTCTCTCATGCTTCATTTGATGATGCAAGAGATCTCATCTTTACGTGCTATAACCTTGCTTACAGAGGTTTCTGAACTCTGTGCATCCATCCACCAGGAGTAAATTCACTTGCTGTTTATTATGTTGGTCATTTATTGATCCAGTGACATCTTTCTGTATATATATATTTCTATATATATATATGTATGCACACATGTATATATAAGTAAATCCAGAGAGAGAGAAGTTGTGGATGCCTCATCCCTGGAAGTTTTAAAGCCAGGTTGGATGGGACTTGAAGCAGCTTGGTCTAGTGGGTGGCATCCCTGCTAACAGTGAATGGATTGAAACTAGCTGATCTTTATGGTTCTGCCCAAAATAAACTTTTCTATCATTCTATAAACATATATATATATGTGTGTATACAAACCCAGCACAAACCAGCAAATTATAAATAATGATTATTTCAGTTATGGCAGTGGGTGACCCCCGTCTCTTCCATGTGCTACACTTACACAGTTTATCAGTCAGAGCAGTGCATTGGATTTAAAGGTTTTTCATCTGCTTTTCTTACAGCCTTACAGTACCTTCTTACAGTAAGGGTATTTTGGAGTTGCAGACTCCTTTACAGGGAGTTGTTCTTTATTTAATATCTGCTCCCCAGATGCTTCATGTAGAATGTTTGATGGCACGAGGAACTTGTGGAATGTAGGGGAAAAACCCATGCTGGTCTCACTGTGGTCTTGTTGGACAGGGGTGGGCAGCACTTGGGTTCACCCAGCTCCAGGAAGCCACCCTGGAGATCGTTCCTGAAGTCAGGAGATTTGCAGCATCCTGCTGTCTCCCTCCTGTTGCCCCCATTGAAGCCCATGGCTCTCAGTCTGTGGAAGATGCTCATTAGAACATGGCATGTGTGAAGTGTCAGGGGCAGGAGTTTGTCTCAAAGGACTGTGCTGCAAGTCTGAGGCTGGGCTTGATGCTTTTCCTGCTGGGAGGGCTGAACATTTCTTCCAGTGGCTTTTTGGCTTGATCTGGTTTTGCCTTCAGGAGGTGATGGGAGATGTTGGTGGCTACCAGCCAGAGAGGTGGTGGCATCTCCCTCCTTGGAGATACTCAAAAAGCCATCTGTACATGGCCCTGGGCAATGGCCCTGCTTGACCAGGGGGTTGATTGACCAGAGGTCTCCTCATACCATCAAGTTGCCAGCTCAGGGAGGTGCAGGCCACAGGAGCATCTGTCCCTGAGTGCTGCTGTGTGTCCTCCAGGGGAAATCTATGGACAACCTGTTTGGCCCAGAGGATTGTGCTCACCATGTGCTGAGCTGAGCCCCACGTTCTTAGATAGCTTTAGGAGAGTGGTGTGAGATCTCACCTTCAGTGGAGCTCAGAGAGGGAGTGAGGTTTGCTTGGCTGGAATGGAGAGCCTTCAGCAGAGCACACAGCATGGAAGTGTTCTACCTCCTGGAAATAGCAGCTTACACACTGAGAATCAAAGCTTCCCTATGAGGTTTTTTCTAAAACCATATTCAGATGAAGATTTAATGTGGAAACCTGTTTCCTGATGTAAAGGTGAATAGTTTAGCTGTACAGGATAAATATTTAAGAGTAGCCTATCTTCTTCCAGTAAAAACACTCTGGGCAGAGACTTCCTTTTGGTGGTAAAACGAGGCTGTTGTTTTATGTGCCACTGACCTGATTCCAAAAAAGTATTAAAAATAGTGAAGTTGGCAGATCCTGACACGAGAGGCAGCCAGGTGGAAGGGGCAGAGCTGTGAAAGGTGAGGCTGAAGCAAGGGGCTGTGAGGGTGACGGACACCGACCCACTCACTGGTTGTCTTCTCAATCTTCAGCAGCTGCCAGCATCACACGCTGTAGTGGGAGTGTGTGGATTGCAAATGGCCCATAAAATGAATTGCCAGTTGGAATCACCTAATTATCAAGCTTGTAATTATTAATTGAAGGCCCATACGGGTGTGAGTTTCTGCACGGCTTCTCTGCTGCGTGTGGCTCTGGTCGGTTGTTAAAGGCATTTCTACAGTGGGCTGTGAGCCCCCAGAAAACAGGTGTTGTTCCTATCCTTTCTTGATCTTTTGGAGTTGGAAAGGGCAGTTTCTGAGCAGCCTGCACTGAGATGCACATCAGTGAGACTAAGCAAAGGGTGAAAGCTGGCTGCAGGAATCCCCATACACTTAAAAACCAGCAAAGACCTGACTCTTCACAGCTGAGTCACTGTTACGGCTCCGAATAACAGTTGTTAGTCACTCTTTGATTATGAGGATTTTCATATTCACTGGTGCCACACAGTATTTATTTAAACACCTCTCCCAAGCATCCTGCAAGATATCATTAGGTAGGTGTTGTTGAGTGATGCAGGGCTGTGATGACTGAACATGTTAGAGCTGGGGCACAATGAAATGTGCTGTGTGAGACTTAGAAGCATTTCTGCACCTTTTTTGGATGTGTTTGCACGTTGTCATGTGCCAGCACCTACCTAATATGTTCTACTGTTTTGTCCCTCCTTGCTCCTGCTTAGGTTTCAGCTTGGTTTAGATTTTTTTTTCTTGGTTAATAAATCTTCACATTTGCACAAGTTGTCTTTTTAGGGTATGGGCATTTTGAAAGTTTCAGTGAATATTTTTCTAAGGACCTAAGTGCAGATGTGGGTGGCTGGTGCTTTCATGCCTATCAGATTCATTCACATGGCTGGAAAGTGGGGTCACAGTGGAAGCAGTTTCCTGTGCTCTCTCAAACCCTCACCACAGAAGTAAATATTCATCAAGAGACCCTTGTCCTCCCCCACACTCCCAGATTTACTTTTCCAATGAGCTGAATTTCAGCCTGTGTAGGTATCATTCTGTTGGTCACCTTTAGACTTTTCAAAAAAGTGTTCAAGGCTGGGTTGTATGGGACCATTGAGCAACCTGGTTTAGAGGGTGGAGAATGTTGGAACTAGATAATATTTAAAGTCTCTCCCAAGCCAAACCATTCTGTGATTTCTATGAACTGAGGCTGAAGCAGAGCTTGGATGTTTGACTGGCTCATGGCCTGAGGAGACAACGGGGAAGTGCAGTTTTGATTTTGAGGCATGGAAGGGTGACGAGACCTGCCCAAGGCTGGGGTGGAGGTTGGTTGCTTGATACAAATCTCTGACCTCCCAAACTCTTAAGGACATGGGAATGTTTGAGAATGGCACTTGTTGGAGTAGTCCCTAGCCCAGGTTCTCCTCCCTGGGTGCAGGAGGATGAGATGTGTCTCGCACTGGGCTCAGGTTTTCTCAGCCCTCTCTTTTTTCCCAGTCTCTGTTGTAGCAAAATGTTTTGGTTTTTTTCTGTTGTAAAGGTGTTCAAGTCTGCTTCCAGAACTCCGCCAGCATCAGCTCTGTGCAGCATGGTGGTTTGAAGATGTAGGGCAAAGCCTCCTCCATGAAATATGTAACAGAAAAAGCTCCGAACACCTTTCCTTTTGAGGAGTAATTTCATCAAGAAGAGAAATCAATACCTGCAGTGGATAGATAAGCCTTTCTGAGGTGTTTGGGACTGCTAGCAGCCCTCTGTCACTGGTTGTTGTGCTGGAGAGCCTCTAGGTTTGGGTTACAATATAGCTGAAAGCTCCCTTCCTTGGCTACTGGGTGCAATATGAGCATGAATTAGATCAGATGAATTTCTTGCCCTGTGGGCTTGCTGATGCAGGGAGCCATCTTTTGCCAGAGGTTTCTTGCTCAGCCTTCCCCAAATGAGGCTTCGATTGGGGTACAGGAGCTGCCAGTTTTAGTTGATAAGTGTAATTGTTCAGGCAGGGAAGCTTTAAGAGTTTTCCACGTGGGGTTTTTTTGGTTGCTGAAATTAAATGTGTGATTTTTAATGGTGATCCTCTTACTTAAATCCTCTGTCTGGGTGGGATGAGTTGGCTTGAGGCCATTGGGGGGCTTTCCTGTGACCTTCTGCAGCCTCTCCAGTATCTCACTGCCACCCCCAAACCCCTCCAGCACGAGGATTGTCATCAGTGGTGGTGATTTTAAGAGACACCCATGGTTCTAAGATCAATGTTGGCTTTAGCAACGAGCCTCCCGGGCCTGCCTGAATGTTTTATTTAGTTCCCTCATAAAAGCTTTGACCTACATCTAGCACCAGGAAGCGATGAGGCTTTGATAATACTCGGGCATGCTGGCGGAGGGCACGCTGCTAACCGAGCTTCCAAGTCGAAAATGGATGTGTACTTTAAAGAATCAGATAAACCAATAAAGGCTTCAGTCAGTAAACAGCTTTATCTCTGCCAGGCAGTATGTGATCCAGTTTTGATGGAGAGGAGGTACCTCTTTATGAACTGTAGGTATTAGGAAAAGAGCTTTCTATTTTTAGCTGTAGGAAAACAAAGCAAAACCCAAAGCACTACAGTTTTTGATGATATGAGGGTGTCAGCAATGGAAATGGGTTGGACCACTCGGGGTGGGGTGCTCCAGTGAAGCAATGATGATAAAAAAGAAAGATCCTGTTTGAATTTTTCTTTGCTGTGTGTCTTAGATGAGATTGCTCACCTGAAGCTGTCAGTGTGAGTCTCGTGGGCAGCCGTGATAGCTTCATGGGTATCCTTCCCAAAACACTTACAGCCTTTAAAAGCAGTGAAGGAGATATCTGGGAGGGACAAGGCAGGGAAGTTTGCAGCCCAGAGTCAGGAGAGGTCAGCAATAGCAGGATGGGAATTGGCATCATTGCCCTGACAAATCGAGAGTCACGGGGTGATGCTGTGGGGCTGCTGCTGTGCTGTGATGTGTGTGGCCCCACATTGATGCACACTGCTTGTCTGGTGGGTTGTGTCTGTACATCACCTGTTTGTGTACTCATGGTGCATGTTTTGTGTTTCTTTTCCCCTTTCCAGGATGAACTTGACCTCACGGACAAGCACAGAGAGGCCATGTTTGCACTGCCAGCGGAGAAGAAGTGGCAGATCTACTGCAGCAAGAAAAAAGTAAGAGACTTGTTGGGTGCTGAGCCTCTTCCCTCTCATGCAGGATGGGGAAGAGTTGGGGGGAAGCACACAGCTCCTTTGGGATGCCAGGTGGTATCTGGGGTGTCACAGAAATGTCCCTGTTCCTGGAGTGACCCTGGGAAAACAAGGTTTTTAGTCCCCAGCCCATTCAGGCTGAAGGGAGTGTCCCCACAATCCTCACAAGTGTCCCCAACCCCATGCTCATCCCTGCCAGCACATCAGGGCCATGTGGAACTCTGTGGGCACTGAGGTTGTCCTTGCAGGGGCGAGGGGCTGCTCACCATCTCCTTAGAGCCCCTCCCAGTACCTAAAGGAGGCATATAAAACAGATGAGGACAGACTTTATAATAGGGGCTGTTGCAGTAGGACAAGTGGTAATGATTTTAAACTGGAAGTTTATTTAAGTTAGATAAAAGGAAGAAGGTTTTTACAGTAAGGCTGTTGAAACACTAGCACAGGTTGCCCGAAGAAGCTGTGGATGCCCCATCCCTGGAAGTGTTTCAGGCCAGGTTAGATGGGGTTTGGAGCAACCTGGTCTGGTGGCAGGTGTCCCTGCTGGCAGCAGGGGCATTGGAACCAGCTGATCTTGAAGGTTGCTGCCAACTCAAACTGTTGTAGGGTTCTGTGATTGCATTCCCTGATTTTCCACTGTGCCCCTCAACTGGCTGCAGGGGGTGGCTGGGCAGGGCTGGCAGTCCCTGGCCCCACTCAAAGGGTGCTCACTGCTGGAAACGCCTCTTTTCTCCTGCTGTAGCAATGGCACCAGATTTTCCATCCACATTTTAGGCCAAGAGCAGGCTTACCTTGCTCATGTAGGATTAAGTTTTAAGCCTCTCATAAATACCCCTGAAATCCCTGTATTATTGTTAGACAGAGGCCTGCCATGCCCGAGATTTAAATCGGAGGGGAGGAGGGATGTTAACAAATTACAGGCACTGGTCTGGATCAACAAGAGAATGGGCAGGGGATGCTCACTCGTCACTCCCTGGTGGATAAGCAGAGCCTTGCCCTGGTGTGTGTGGATAATGGGAGAGTTAAATCAAGCAAAGCCATGTAATGATTATTGTGAGTGGAGATTATGTGCTATCTAATCTCCTGAGGAAGGGTTTAGATGGAGCTGATGGTGGCTCTTTCCCTTCCCAGAACCTCCTTACTCTCATGGGTTTTTAAAGGCTGTGCTGTGAAACTCCTTGCTCGTGGGGGGAAGGAGCCACAGAAGTGCCTGGGGCATTCTCAGAGGTTCTGGGAGCAGGCATCCAGCTGGATCCTGGCTGCTGTTCTCCTCTGGTCCTCATTCCTCTGGCTGTTCCCAGCCACTCCTTCCCTACTTGTGATACCATCACAGTGAGCTGCAGAGCACATGTGCTTGCTCTGATGGAGATGTGCTGGTGGAGACAAATGCTCTTCTCCTGCTTTTTAATTAAAAATGAGCAAGACCATATCAATGAAGGTTCCAGCCGTGGAGGGAATCAGGAATTACATGGGCTGGAGAACATGTCTGTGTACAGCAGGCTCTAGGCTGTCCTGCCCTGTGTGATGATGACTGGTGAGCAGCAGAAACACTGCTGGATATCCCTGGCAGCTCATGGTAAATCTTTCTTGTGCTCCTGTGTATTTATGAGGCCAGATCACCTACATGGTAGCCTGGCATCGAGGAGAGGGGCTGGACTTCTCCAGCTGAGAGCAGTGTCTGCTTTCTGGGCAGGGCAGCAGAGCTGGGGACAGGACAGTGGTCCTACCTGCCTGGCTTGGCTGCTCTCAGAGAGACAGTGATTTGGGAAGTGCAGGATGTGCCCAAAGCCTGTGTTTAACAGCAATCTGTTGTTTGAGATGCTTGTAACACCCAGTTTTACCTGGGGGCTGGCAGAGGTGGACATCAGTCTCAGGCAGCTGCCTGACTTTCCAACAATCCAGAATTGTCCCCTGAGCAGTTTTTGCTTTTTACTCTGCTGCCAATTTTGGCTGGCACTTCTGCTTTGCTGTTGGTTTTATCCATCACACTCAGCTGTCCAGAGCACGTCCCAGATGCTGCTGTTTTATATATTCCTGTGATGGGCAAGATTGCATAAGAGGAAACCAAAAATTAGACATTTTTTGCTGGATTGTCCTGGAAAGAGACCTGACAGCACCTGGCCTTGGCATTGCCTATTGAGAGGAAATGGGGGAAATCCAGCTATTCCCCAGGTGTGTTTCTTTCCCTGGAATATTTCCCCCTGGCCTGCAGCTCTGTATCCTGGTTTCTCTGCCTATCCCAGCCCACAGGACTGGCTTGGCAGGGTGGAGGCTTTGTCCTCCCTGATTCTCCATCCATGGAGACAGTGGGTTTGATCCCATCCTTGGGGATTGCACTGCATGAACTCCTCGTGGTCCCAGCCCTCCTGCATCACCCTGAGTCGCTCAGGGGACAGAGAGATGAAAAGCATCTCATGATGGGGCTGGTGAGTTGTGTCAGCAGCAACCCAAGGAGGAACTGAAATCTGCACTAAACCCAGCAGCCGTGCAGTGCTGGGGTCAGGAGAGAGATTTCAAGATTATTGGAGAGACCTCCTTTGAAGTCATCAGCCCCTCTACGGCTGGGATAAAGCAGGGAAATGCAAAAGCAGAGAAGCATCAGCAGCAGGATGAGATCTGCTTTTAGAAGTGGTATTTCTGGACGATGACTCGTTTCATACCTCATCCCAAAATACTCCGCTCCCTGCTGGCCCCGCTCTCCAGGAGAGGATATTGCTCGGAAGTGCAGGGAGGAAGCAGGAGGGTTTCCAGATTTGCTGTTTCTTTGGCTGTGGGTTTGCCTCAGTGGAAGAGATGGCCTTTTTCCAGAGGGAGTTAATGATTAACCCTTCGTGCTTAGTCTGCAGGACCTGTTTAACTGCAGGAGATTTGGCTCCTGACAGCCCATGTATGTCATGTCAAGCTGTTAAAGCAGCTCAAAGGGTGGTTTTTATGAGCTTCAAAATAGGGGTGAGTACAGGGTGTTGGGGCAGAAGCTCAGAATAAATAACCAGGTGGGAGGGATGGGTAGTGAAAAACAGCTCATGTGAGTGCAGGGTCTGGCGCTGCCCCTCTCCCTGTGGGTCCAGCTGAGCTTTTCTAAAGCTGGACTAGAGGAAAAACGACCTGCAGGGATGCCAAGTGATGCTGAGCTCTGTAGGCCTGTGTTGAAAACCTGGGGGCATCTCTAACCCTGGATGCATCGTTCCGAGCAGTGTGAAGCAAAGCTTGTATCTAAAATTTCCCTCAGGGGTCAGATAAAAACCAGGATCCTTTCACATTAGGAAGAGGCAGAAGTGGTGATTTTTCAGGGGAAATATGTGATAAATGGGGAAATGAGTGATGTCTCTCCAATAATCTTCTATTTCCCAGCCAGCCAGCCTCTTTCCCCTCCAACTGTGCCTTCCACCCACTCCCTCCAGAGAGCTTCACTTTCCAGCTTGTTCCTCCACTTGTCCTGCTCAGTTCTGCAGCTCCTTCGTGGGGCTTGTGTTCCATTTCCTTCATTTAAAAAACATCAATTCCCCATATTTTTGCTGCAGTAGCAGAACTAAGAGCAAAAGCTGACAAAGATGGCATGCAGGGGAGGGGAGGATAAAATAGCTCGGCATTTTGCCATGCTCCAGGGTCACCTGGGATGGATGAGAAGGGTTTCATGGCCTCTGAGCATTCAGATATACCTGCTGTTATTGCAGCAGCAGGTTGAAATACCATCTCAGGTGTCATTTGCTCAGGCTGACCGAGAGAAACTCGCTGTTTGCATGGCTGGGGGTGTTTTTCACTTGGAAATGTTTATAGTTTTTATCTTTCAAGGTAATTCCCCTTTTAGTTCCAATCACAACACACTTTTGTTTAAGCAAGGTTTTTTTCTCGCTCTCCGGCCAAAAAATGCATCTGTTAGCAATCTTTTTGGATTTTAAAGTGAAGCTTTTCAAACAATGAACCAGCTGACTACGAAAGGCATCTGGTCATGCTATATTTGCTTATGGGGAGCATAATTTTTAAACCCTGGGAAAAGCGTACGAGGGCACGTGTGTGTTTGTGGAGGAGAGGGTATGGGAAGTGTTAGCATATGGAAAACCAGAGCAGGCTGGGCTGGGCTGGTTCAGACCCTGAGATCCCAGCTTGGGGAGAGTCTGATGAAATTCCAGCCCTTTGCAGCATGGCCCCATGGGGAAGCAGCTTTATTGAATCATTCAGGTGCTGTTCCAGGGATACCTGGAGGGATGAGGGAGCCCTGGGGGGCTGTGGTGGGCCCAAACCTCCACCAGCACATACCTGGCAAGGGCTGGGCCATGTTGGTGGAGCTGGGCTGCATTTAAACATCTCACATAGGCTGTAGAAACTTAAAAAAACTCATTTTTTTAAAACTTTAAAACTCATCTGTGCCACCTCCTGCTTCCTCTCTGACCTTGCAAACAGCATCCAGGTGGATCATCCAGAGCAGTCAGGGAGAGAGGGGTTGCCAAAATGCAGTGAGCTGCCAGCTTTCCCTTGCTCTGCTCTTATGGAGCAGCAAGGAGGGGTGGGGAACACTGGGCAGAATGAAAGTTATGTCAGGACCATGTGTAAAAATGGAGGGGGTGTTGCTGTTTTTGCAGCTGGTGCCAGTTGAAGAGGGTTTTTTTAATCCCTTCCTGTGACTTTCCTGAGGCAGACCAGCCTTGCAGGTGGTGCCAAGAGGGAGGTGAACCACCAAAATCATACAGTTGTTAAGGTTGGAAAGACCTCTGAGATCATTGAATCCAGCCATTAACCCAGTGCTGCCATGCTCTCCCTTAAACCATGGCCCCAAGTGTCACATCCCTGCTTTTTTGAACACTCAAGGATGGTGATTCCACCACTCCCTGGGCAGACAGTTCCAGTGCCTGGCCACATTTGCAGTGAAGAAATTATTCCAGACATCCAATTTAAGCCTCCCCTGGCACAACCTGAGGCCATTTCCCTTTGTCCTATCACTTGCTACCTTGGAGAAAAGCCACGGGTGTTGTCACTGAAGGGCTCTGTGCCTTTCATGGAGCTGGCTGCTGTGAGCCAGCCTTTTCCTTCCAGCCTTGTAGGACGTAGCTTGCTGAGTTGGACATCAGGTGGGTGGGGAACTCAGCCAGCCACCATCAATTATCCCAAAGCAGCAGCAGATCCAGTTATCCCAAAGCACCACATGGGCTGTGAGCGTAGGGAAGCAGGCTGCTGGATCAGGTGTGACATCAGCTGCAGACTGAGGATCCAAAAGATGTTGCCAGAAGTTTGTTTAGGAAGCAGAGCAGGTGGCAAAGAACTGAGGAGCATGACAGGTGTCGTTCTCCCCACCACCATGGGGGCATGCTGTGAGGTTGCACTGCTCCCAGCAGCTGCGTTCCTGCAGGTCAGAGCAGCAGGAGTTTGGGGGGATGCACTTTCCAGGTGGAAGTGGGTTGAGATCAGACTTGAAATTGCTTTGAGCCACCATTGTCTGAGCCCCCACTTCCTCTGCCCAGTGGTCATTGGGAAGAGAGGGAAGTCTGGCTGGGGAGCTGCTGATGCTCTGAGAGGGAGGCACGAAGGGTGTGGAAGTGTCAGGCTCATAACCAAGACATGACAGGGGACTGTGAAATCTCCCTGGGAAGAGCAAAGGGATGGCTGGAGCTGGCAGGTTGGTGACCTTCACTTGGGAAAGCTCCTGCTAATGAGGCATCTTGACTGGGCACTGCTTGCCCTGCAGTGCTGAGGAGGGGATGGAGCTCGTTTATCGGGTTCACATCACAACACAACACCCCCTGCCACTGCCACCAGGGCACAGAACAGTCCAGGGGCAGCATCCATCAACCCCATGCAGAGGAACAGCAGAGCCTGTGACACGAGAGGGTGACACCAGGGCCACAGCTGATGGGATTTGTGGTTTTGCCAGGTTTCTGGAAAGAAGTAGGTGAGGGGAGCAGGTGGAACAAAGCAGGGGATGGAGCGAGGTCTGCCCTTGTCTGTGCAATTTTGGCATGTCTTAATTTTTGCAGCTGAGCACATCGAGGCCTGGAGGACAGTGAGGGATGCTGATGTGCAATTAAAGCCATCAGTGTGCCTCTAACAGAGCAGCTCAGCCTGGGTTCCAGCAGGGTTCAGATCAGCCCTTGCTTCTTTGCTGCTTGAGAGCACACACAGCAGAGACTCAGCCCAGAGAATAAGGAATGGGGAGATGTTCAGTGATGCAGTGGAACATCCTGGAGATGCTGGAGGTGTTCAGCTGCGTCTGGGCATCCCTCCCCAAGGGCAGTCTGCAAAACCCACATCCCAAAACCCACCCTGCGTGCTGGGAAACTATTTTACACACTCGGCCTTTCAAATCCTGATGCTGGAGAGGTTCCTCCCTCCTCCTGGTGCTGAGCAGAGCCTTGTGACTCACTTCCCTCCGGGCTGTCGCTTTGTGAGGAGATTTCTTTGCCACCAGGAATACACCAAAGGACACTTATCAGTGTGCTGTAGACCATTAGCCCCAGTAATTACCACTGAGCAACGTCCTGCAGCGAGCTGAGGGGAGGGAAGCCCGTGCCCTGATCTTTGCCTGCTTTATTGTGCAGTCCCCCTTTGCCTGGGAAGCTGCTTTCTGACGAGCCTGCCCAGCTGCTCATCGGAATTAATGAGGTTCTGCTGCACTTAATTGAGAGTGCTCTGTAAATTGGGGGTTTCAGGGAGGAAATGCAACAGCCCGAGGGAGCCGAGCAAAGGGAAATATTTATAATGCAGCACGTTAATTATAAATGAGCAGTTTAGCCAATTTTGTTGTTCAGCCTCCCCTCCACCCCCTGGAGACCTTTATTTGCTCCACCGCTTCTTTTCAACCCTAAATGAGCAGCAGGTCCACATCCCTGCCTGCCTCACAGGTGTTCACAGCACGTGGGAAGGTCCTGGGATGAGGGAGGACCCAGCCCTGCTGCTTTCCCTCCCCATTCCTCAGCATGGACCTCACTCCCTGCCCAGGTCTCCTAGCTGGGCACATCTGGACCCCTCTTGCTGCTGTGCCGTGGTGGGGACCTTGCCACCCTTCCCAGCTGGTGTCTCTGGGGGAACAGAGATGCTCTTTATCAGAGGGACAATGGGAAAGACCTTCTCTGACACCTCCAGGAGGTGACAGGACCTTGTTCAAGGCACCTGTGAATGTCCCAGCTCTGCTGTCCCCTGAAGCACATTTGCATGCTGGACTCTAAGTGGGGCAGGGCAGCTGGGAAGAGCAGGATGCCCACAAGCTCTGTGCAGAGCCTTCCCCTGGCAGGGCACAGGCAGCTTGGTACAGTGCCCAGGGCTTGGCTGAGGAGCTGGAAGCCCTGATGGCCGTGTCAGACAGAATTGACACCGAGCAGACAGGTGGCCTGAGCCTCAACCCAGCTGCCTGGCACCTCTGAGGGACTGTGGGGTGAAGAAAAGTGTTAAAGGGCAGAGGTTTCCAGGCCTCTTGGTGCTCTCAGGCTTGTTTTGTCCCTTCCTTGGAGCCAGGCACAGCCAAAGGAAGGGTCAGGTCTGGAGGCACAGGCTGTTCTGCCCAGGGGCAAACTGAGTCTCGTCCAAACTACCCGTCCTTGACTCCATGTGCCCTCTTCTTGGCACGCTGCAGCTTGGGAAGTTTGGATGCACAAATATTTTCCACGTACTCCCCTTGAGCCACAGTAAATATTTGGCACTCTGCTCCTTGGGCTTGCTGAAAGCAGGCACGGTTGTCTGCATGCACAGAGAGGGAGCAGAGAGGAGGTGTCCAGCTCCCACCATCGTGTTTGTGGTGTAGGATGAGGTTTACAAACATCTCTTACAGTTAGGGACGGGGCAGAGCCATGCAGCAAGTCAGGCTGTGAGGAGAAGATGGTTACTGAGGGGAAATGTTTGGGATTTGTGTAGTATCTGTTGACTCCAGCCTAGACCTGTGTGGCATTTCTGCCATGAAATCTTCTTCTTCTTTTGATATAGATGTCTCTAGAAAAAAAAGTGGAGGAAAAGGTTAATTATGAAGTATTCCCTCAAATTCTGCCTACTTGTTCCAGCATTAGTTATCTGAGCTGGGCTCCGAGGTCCTTCAATCATATCCTACAAGAACAAGGTAGAACTGAAAACCCCTCATGAACCCTGACAGATGCAGGGCATCATGGACCAGGATGACCAGATGAGGCTCTGCATCATTCAGGTCATCGATCATGGGCCCAGGGGTGACATCCTTTAAGAGGTGACATTGCCAGATGCGTGTTCCCTCCCAGTGACTTACGAAGTCCCCAGAGGAACTGTTGTGCCTGGAGTCTCTGTTAGGATGTTGATAAGTCATGGTTCTGCTCCAGGAGTGCAGCCTAGATCATGTCACATTTAAACACTCTTCATTGCTTGTTAACATTTTCCCCACTGAGCATATTCAAGGGTGTGCAGCCAAAGCTTCAAGGGCACTGTAGAGTTGAAACAAGAGAGATTTGGATGTAAAATTCCAGTGTGTTTTCCCAGAAGCTGATAATCACAGGACTGCTGCAGTACCAGTGGGGCAGTGTTTGGTCATAGGCAGGTGCTGTAATTGTATTTCAAGTATGGGTGTTCAATAAACCAGGTACTGTTCCCATAGCTGGAGTCAGGGGTAAGCTCAAAATAAAGAAACTCACACTATATTAATATAAATGAATGCAAGAGCTTGGGGGTGCTTCAGAAGTGGTTGGTCATGAAGGGCAGGGAATGTTAATACTATTTCTACTAATCTGGCTTTTGTTTCACTTTTTTTATCCCCTACCAGGACCAGGAAGAAAATAAAGGAGCCACCAGCTGGCCAGAGTTCTACATTGATCAGTTGAATTCAATGGCTGCTGTGAGTATTCCCCCAGAGCTCTGGTGCCTCTGAGCCCCTTGTGGGGCAGAGTTTGGTGGGGACAGTGTCAGCACTGTGCCTGAAGGGTGGCAGGTGTTACAGAGGCAGTGTCACCTGTTGGACCAACAGGTACAGCTGCAAAACGGAGATGCCCCTACGGCACCTGGGGCGTTTCACACAGTCACAGAACCATGGATGGGGTTTGGGTGGGAAAGGGACCTTAAAGAACATCCAGTTCCAGCCCCCTTCCACCTGACTAGGTTGCTCCAAGCCCCATCCAGCCTGGCCTTGAACACTTCCAGGGTTGGGGCAGAGGGATGAGCAGGGGCTGTGAGCCAGCAGGGAGTGTGCTGCTTCCCTCTTGGAAGGCAGAAACATGCAGTGCTGGCCATGGGCTGCCAGCCAGGCAGAGCCCTGAGCCTGAGCAGAGCTTGTGATCAAAGCCTGCCAGATGCTGGGGGGTGGCTTTGATCTCCCTGACGTGCTGCTGAAGAGGAGCTGGGTTAAATGGAGGGGTCAGCACAGCTCCTCATATCTGCTGGGACCCTTTCTCTCTGCTTTGGATTAGCCTCAGCTGGGGCTGGCAGGGCTCACCCTGACACCTCTGGGGCCCAGCACTATTGGGTGGTGCAGGAACCACTTGGGGAGCTGCTTTAGCTGTAGCTGTGCCTCATGCATGCCCAGGGAGCAGGCAGCCCTGGTGCAGGGGTCAAATCCCATCCCCAGTCCCAACTGGAGAGCAAATTCCAGTGTGGGAGATGCATCCTGTGCACACAGCCACTGTCCCCAGCTGAGATGCACACTGCTGGGTTGCACTGGGGGTTGGCTGTTCACCATCCTCATGGCCTCTGGATGATCTCCAATAGCCTGATGTCTTTTTTGGATGTCTTTTTTTTTTGTATTGTGGTGCCCAAAACTGCCCCCAGGACTCAAGGTGAGGCTGCACCAGTGCAGAGCAGAGCAGGAGTTGTGTGGGGGCTTGAAGACAGTGCCTTCATCCCTCTGTCCCCAGTCCAGGCTGTCTCCTTGCAGACCATGGAGTGCTTTTCCTCTCTGCTCCTTTTCCCAAGTTCTGTGATTGCCACAAGGATTCCACACTGCCAGGATGGGTTTAGGATCCCCATGGCACAGTGTGTGGTGGGCACTGCTCAGGCACACAGGGAGGGATTCCCCCTCTGATTTCTGCCTTCTTCCTTCCACAGAGAAAGTCACTGATCGCCTTGGAAAAAGAAGATGAGGAGGAGAGAAATAAAACAATTGAAAGTTTGAAGACTGCACTGCGGACAAAACCAATGAGGCAATTCCCTTCCCTTTTCTGGCTTTATTGCTGTGGTTGTGGCTTTGGATTTGAGTTCTCTGGCAGAGCAAGGGATTAAATAGGAATATAAATGGGAACTGGTGAGGGGAGCAAGGACTCTGAGGCACTAATTGCTTTGTATTTTTTTTGTTTCTCCAACTGCTTTTTTTATGTCACATTTTGTCATTTTGTTCGTTTTTCTTGGTCCTTTTAGTGACCAAGAGCCACCAGGACCTCCCTGTCTGTTCAGAAAAAATCAGGCAACTTTTTTATTTTTCCAGATTTTCCTTTGTACTGAGCAGAAGGTAAAAATTCTTTAAAGATTGATTTCCCCCCTCCCCCCCCAAGAAAACAACAATTTTTATTGGTCAGCTAGGCCCTTTGTTTCAACTTCAACTGCTCTTGCACTTTATAGGGGAATAAAGTCACATGGATCTTCAGGCTTTTATGAAATGGAAAACAGTTTTTGGTGGGGAGGATAAATGATGGCTGGGACTCTTTCTGAATGTCTGTAACTTTTCCTAATGTTATTTTCTCTGGAGTCTGCATGCACACTTTTGCAACACTTAAGGTGCCTCAGCTTAACATCTTCTGATGGGAATACATTCCATTAGGAAATACCTGACCTGTTTTGGTTATGCAAGAAACAAATTTACTTTTGCTTGCAAATACCTTTCCTTCTTCCACCTGTGGTGATGGTAAGAAATTCTCAGGGTCCAGGGTGAGCATCTGATTTCTGTGAGAACCTGGTCCTTGTGGGTGCTGGTCCCTGCAGTGAGCAGGGCTGGTGGCCCTGAAACTTTACAAAATCCTTAAAAGTGGGGTTTGAGTGTTTTTGGAGGGATGCAGCAGGCTCCATAGAAAATTTTACCTATTGGCCCTACTTTTGCACCCTGGGAGGTGAACACTAACTTTCCTATTGACTTTGGCTGGAAGAAGAGCAGGCTTTGGAGCAGAGAAAGCAATTTTCCCCAAGCCTGCAATTACCCCTTTTGTTGCTGCGCATCAGCATGGCTTGTTTCGAATTAAAATCATCCCAGTGCTGGGGTGTTCTTGGCTCGTTTGCTTTCCAAAGCTCTTTTCCCAGCCCATGCCTTTTGCCAAACCAGAGGACACCCAGCCTGGATGGCACTGGGCATGGGGGCCCTAAAATGCCTCAGCAGTGTGCAGTGCTGTGTCTGCCTGCTCTAGTGAATCTGCCTGGGGCACTGCCCTGTGTTTGCTGTCTGCTTTCTGTTCAGTGGCGTTGTAAGCCATTGTAAAAATCAGAAATCCCTTAAAACTGGGGAGCTGTGCCTGAGGGAGGAGAAGGGTGTAGATGGTGGGGCAGGAGAAGGCAGAAAGGCTCACCTTGAGGTGTCTGCAGCTGGTGGGGAGGTGACTTCAGGGCTTGGGATCTTCTTCCAGTTCAAGACTGGTCTCAAGACTCAGGTCGGTATTCTTTGCAGTGTGACTGCAAACTTCAGCCTCCATCCTGGGACTTGTATTGATGGCTGGTTTATCTGGTCCTCTTTGAAATATCCTCACTCTGAAGAACCTTGTGCAGGTGGGGCCTGGTTGCCTATGCTACCAGGCACCAATTTAATTGATTTTTACAACCCCATCCTGGTGTCTGGGCCACGGGAGTCCTTCAGGCTTTCTGGAATGCCTGAAAAGGTATACAGGAAGGTTCTAGGTTTACATCAACAGACAAGCTCTGTTTGAGGGTAAAGATGGACTTTTAGCATTTTGTTTTAAAGTGAAAATCCCTTTTTCTGGCAGGTTTGTGACCCGGTTCATCGACCTGGATGGCTTAACGTGTATCCTCAACTTTCTGAAAAGCATGGACTATGAGACAGCAGAGTCTCGAATACATACCTCGCTCATTGGATGTATAAAAGCACTAATGAACAACTCCCTGGGCCGGGCCCACGTCCTGGCCCACCTGGAGAGCATTAATGTAATCGCTCAGAGTCTGAGCACAGAGAATATTAAGACAAAAGTGGCAGTTCTGGAAATCATGGGCGCCGTGTGCCTGGTTCCCGGGGGCCACAAAAAGGTACTGGAGGCGATGCTGCACTACCAGAAATACGCCAGCGAAAGGACTCGTTTTCAGGTAGGTGGGTCTCCACTCAGCCCCCAGCCCTTGAAATTCAGCATTCCTGTCCCTTTCTCCTACTGAATGTCTTAAGTGGCTGCTTGCAAGTGTTTTGTTATGGCTGTTTGCAAGTTGAAAAATCCAGAATTAGCCCAGAGCCATGTCTGATGAGATCTGCAGCTGAGCGAAGAGGGAGGAAACAGTTATTTAAGGCAACACCCACCAAAAAAAAAGGCTTGCTTGTGCAGGGTCACTGGGATCACAGCTCTGCAAGGCTGCAGCACATCTGCATGGGCTGGTGTTGGCCCCAGTGGGGGCTGGGGTGGCCAGCAGCTGAGGGTGCATCGCCAGGTATGGGAGGGAGCATCATGAGGAGTTGTTCCTGCCTGTGCTCCCTGGCTGCTTGGGCAGCACTGGGGCTGTCATGGGGCATTTAGCTGACACTGTGTGTTTGGCAGACGCTGATCAACGACTTGGACAAGAGCACAGGCCGGTACCGAGACGAAGTGAGCCTCAAGACAGCCATCATGTCCTTCATCAACGCCGTCCTGAGCCAGGGGGCGGGCGTGGTGAGCGCCGGGGCTCTGGGACAGGGGGGCTTGGGGTGCTTTTATTTCAGTGAACTTCCTGAGGATGTGCACCTTGCTGTGCTGAGCCCACAACTGTCCCTTGCAGGAAAGCCTGGATTTCAGACTCCATCTGAGATACGAATTCCTCATGCTCGGCATCCAGCCAGTCATTGATAAACTAAGGCAACATGAAAATTCAACCCTTGATCGGTGAGTAATGACCCCCCAGCACACTTGTGATTTTTGTCTGGTGCCCTTGGTTCAGGTGCTGGCCTTTTCAGATATCACGTGGCTCTAAAGTCACACCTCTTAGAGAAATTCCTTGCTGTCTCCAGAGAGGGAGGAAAAAATTCCAACATGATTTTGGTGCTTTCAGATGTAGAGTTGAGCTGGGGAGGATGTGCCATCAGGGGTTCAAGGGATGCTGTCAGCCCTCATCCAACCCTTCTCATCCCAAAAGGCTCCTTGGACCTCCTGTAGTGCCTAGGCAGTCGAGGCTGAAGGTCTAGTTGGTGTTTCAAGCCCCTACAGTGTCTGGTCAGCTAACAGACCTGCTACCTGTAATTTATTAATTGTCACATTTATATCTGCTTCTAACAGGTTGTTCTGGTTTTTTTTATTTCCCTTTCTTTCCTCAGGCACTTAGATTTCTTCGAAATGCTTAGAAATGAAGATGAACTGGAGTTTGCCAAAAGATTTGAGCTGGTGAGTACAAATACTGCTGGTGTAGGCTCTGGCACTCAATGCCACAGTTAGTTTTAAAAACACCTGCGTGCCCTGGGACACAGAGTGGTCTTCTGGATAAAACATGAAGATTGGAAATGTTTCCTGTTCCCCTGCTCTTTTGCAACATCTGTCCTAGAGCCTGCTTTAGCCCTTTTGTCCTCTCTTTGCCCCTCACAGGGCAGCGAGGCAGGTTTGTCTGTCAGTTTTGGGGTGGGGGTGACTCGTGGGGTCTGGAGCTGAGGCTCAGGGAACGATGCTGTTGTGGGTGCAGTGGCCTGACCTTGCCTGGCTCCTGCCCACAGGTCCACATCGACACCAAAAGTGCAACTCAGATGTTCGAGCTGACGAGGAAGAGGCTGACGCACAGCGAGGCGTACCCGCACTTTATGTCCATCCTGCACCACTGTCTCCAGATGCCTTGTGAGTCCCAGCAGAGGCCAGGAAAACCGTGGCTTGCTGGAGGCTTGGCAGCCCAGCTCTCCTGCCCAGCAGCGTCACGACCTCCCCTTTGCTCACATCAGCCTCTCCCCTTCCTTCCCTGCAGATAAAAGAAGCGGCAACACTGTCCAGTACTGGCTGCTGCTCGACAGGATCGTGCAGCAGATCGTCATCCAAAGTGACAAAGGGCAGGACCCCGACGCCACTCCCCTGGAAAACTTCAACATTAAAAATGTTGTACGAATGTAAGTGCTCAGTGTCAGTGTTCCTTACCTGTTGCTGTCACACAGTGATGCTCCTGCTCCTCGGCTGGATGTGAGCCAGCATCCCTGGAGCTGTTGACTTCCCAGGACTCACCCACCCCACCTTATCAATGAAGCCCATCCTTTTCATTAGACAGCACTTGCAAGCAGTGTTTGAGATTTAGGAGTTTTTACTTGTTCCCTGATAAATTTTACATAACCCTGCTGAGGGGAGACACAGCAGAGCTTTTAGGTGTGCCAGTTTGGGAGCCTGAAATCCCATGTCTCCAGTCATGTTCCTTGCTGGTGATGGTCTCCTGTTCTGTAGCAGGATTGTCTCATGTGCTGCATCTCTTTTCTTTTTAGGTTAGTCAATGAAAATGAAGTGAAACAGTGGAAAGAGCAAGCAGAGAAAATGAGAAAAGGTGAGTGATGGAGAAATATAGTGTCAACTCTAACCTTGGCTAAACAGTTAACATACCCATGTATTGATGTGTTTATTTATATGTGTATCTGCAGGCTTTTTTGAAGGGCTGAGATAGTATCACACCATGGGGCTGACATGGGAAATGGGAAAAGCAAATAATATTTTTTCATGGAAAGGCTCCAGATGGGCCACTAAGGCACAACACAGGCTCCCTTTTGTCAGCTGAAGCTTCTCTGCTGGGCAGTGTGGGGTTTAGCCCCCCATGGGCTGCTGTTGGCTAAAAAGACTGCTGTTGGCTAAAAAGAGTGTTTGTCACCTAAAAGTGGTCTTGTGGGGCTGTTCCAGAGCACACAGAGCTTCAGCAGAAGCTGGAGAAGAAGGAGAGGGAGTGTGATGCCAAGGCCCAGGAGAAGGAAGAGATGATGCAGACGCTGAACAAGATGAAGGAGAAGCTGGAGAAGGAATCCAGTGAGCACAAGCAGGTCAAGCAGCAGGTGGCAGATCTCACAGCCCAGCTCCACGAGATGAGCAGGGTGAGACCTCACACCCTCTCCCTGTTGTGGGCTCAGTCCCTAACCCCCTGCAGATGCTGTGGGGTGATTGCAGGAGGCTGAGCTGCATGGAGGGACTGAGAAAGAGGCTTATTGGAGGAGCCACCAAGGTCCCTTGTGATGGGATGATTTTGCCTCTGACCTGCATTGAGCCTCAGTCAGGAGTGTTGAAGTTTTTGAATGCTTCCTCTGTTTCCTAAATATTAACCAAATTAATTAAAAATCAGCATGAGGGTATTTCTTAGGTGGTATCCCCTAACTCCATATGACCAGTCCCCATTCCTCTTTCTCTCCCAGAGGGCGATCTGTGCTGCCAGTCCTGGAGGACCTCCCATGCCACCAGGAGCACCTGGTGGCCCTTCACCTTCTCCAACTCCCGGGTCTCTTCTCCCCCCTCCGCCACCCCCACCACTCCCAGGGGTATGTCCCCCACCGCCTCCCCCACCACCTCCTCCAGGTGGTCCCCCACCTCCCCCTGGCCCCCCACCTCTGGGTGGGATGATGCCTCCCCTTGGAGCACCCCTGGGCATGGCCTTCAAGAAGAAGAGCATCCCTCAGCCAACGAACGCCCTCAAGTCTTTCAACTGGTCCAAGCTTCCAGAGGTAAGCTGGGCAGTAATTTGGGTGGTGAGACTGGAGGTGCTGGTGGTGATGTAAGAGCAGTGAGCAGGACCAACCTGCAATGCTTCCACTGTCTTGCAGAACAAGCTGGCAGGCACTGTGTGGACCAACATAGATGACACAAAAGTGTACAAAATCCTGGACCTTGAAGACCTGGAAAGGACATTCTCTGCCTACCAAAGACAGCAGGTAACAGCTGCCCTGGGGTGGGCACACCTGGCTGAGGTGCCACTGTTACAGGATCATGTGATTTCACTTGTGGTCCCAAAACACATCTCCCATCATTATTTCATACCAAAGCCACGTTTGCCAGATCCACTTCATCTGCTTTATCCTCTCCTCCGTGTGCCAGAGCCTTTGCACTGAGGTGGCCATTCATGGCTCCACCCTTGCCCACACCTGACCACATGCACCCCGAAGATGGATCACTAAAAAAACACACACACAAAAAAAAAAAGAGACAGGGAATGTCATGAAAATAACCCCCAGATGTGGCCAGAGTTGGGTAATATTTTTGGGTTGCTCTTAGCAGCAACTGCTCCATGTGTCTGTATTGGGTGGAAAATTTCTATCCTTCTCTGGCCAAGAAGGACTAAGTTTTGCCCACATCTACCATGGGTGGGTCTCTCCTTTTATTTTTGTAGTGAGCCAAGAGCAAAATGTGAGCTTTGAGCAAATATCCCAAACCAAAATAATGTCATTGCAGGCAAAACTCTCCACTTTTTAATCCACTCAAGCTCTGTAGCCCCAGTTTGGAAGGCATCAAAGCACACGAAGAAAATTAGACACATATTTTACCCCAGGCAGGATGAAAATGGGAAAAAGCAATGAGTGTTTCAAGAAGGCAGGAGAAAAAGCAAGGAGGGAGGCTGAAAAAGGATGTTCACCTGCTGAACACCTGGCTGTGTTCCTGGGAGGAGAGGACAGCTTGTCTCCTTCGTGCCAGGCTCAGGGGGACAGTGTCAGGAAGGAGTGGACCAGACCCATAAGCTCATTAAGGCAGTGTGAGAGTTTAATCTGTTCCAGAGGCTAATTGAGGGAAAGATCAGGGTGGATTAGAGCAGGGCAAATATTAAGTAAGCCACCAGAAGTACGTGCTGCCTGCCCCAGTGTTTTGGGAATAGGTGACCACAGCAATGTCTCTTTCCCCCGGCATTTTTTGAGCCTGACTCATGCCTGCTGCAGGGCACGTCTGAGGACAAGGAATGGAAATGGAAGAGGAGCAAGAATAGAAACCTGAGTGTCAGCAGGACAGTTTGCCCTCAGGCTTGCCTGCCTGAGCCCATGAATCACCTGGTGTGATGCAGATTATTGCCAGGCAGGAATTTAAAAATAATTTGGCTTGGCTGAGGTCCTGCTGGATGAAGTGGCTGGTTAGGTTTGGGGCCAGGAGGAGCAGGGAGATGGTGCAAGGAGATCTGTGACATGGGCTTCTACCCCAGATGGGATGAGGACCAAAAGGGAGCTGAAAGTAGGAGCCAGTGGCTGAGGTGGGACTGGCAGAAGATGCTGTGAGAACATCTGAAAGGCAGATGGGAAAGACAAGGCAAAATCTCACCTGTGAGATGCTGCTGGGGCTGGAGCTGCCCTTGGGGACGTGATGCACAAGTTCCTTGTGGTTCACCTGGTGGTTCATTTTGTGAGTGGAGCATGGGACACATCTCCTTGGGCCTGAGGGATGTGGTTGTCTAGCTGGAAGTGCCCAGGGTGCTCCCAGGATGGAGAGAGGGTGCGTGGCTCTGCAGCCAGTGGCAGTGCAGGCACCAGGGTGTGGGGTTGGATGTGCTCCATGAGATCAGGAGAAGTGTTCCAGGCTGGATGGGGCTCTGAGCAGCCTGGTTGAGTGGAATGATCCCTGCCCATGGCAAGGGGGTTGCACTAGAGGATCTTTGAAGTTCCTTCAGCCCAAGCCATTCTGTGATTCTGTAACACATGCAAACCACGGGGCACTGTGCACATGGTGGGGGGCTGGGGAAGTGAACAGCCTGTCCCTGAGGCACAATGAACTAAATGTGGTTTAATAACTCACAGCATTTTCAAGCTCCAGCAAAACTTGGTTTCTGTCACGAAGAAGCAATGGAGGAGCAGGGTTTTTTCCTCCCTGTTCCCTGTCTTGAGCCACTTGCTCAGTGATCATGCCTCTCACTTGTCCTGACTCAAAATATCCACAGGACATGGGGCATCAGGGGCTGCCTGTCTGCCCATGCCCCCCAAAAAACCAGGGCTCTGAAAATGCATGGTCAGGTGGTGCATCCCTGTGGCCAGTGCCCCAGCAGGACTTGGGGACAGCAGGCAGAGGTGTGTGCAGTGCACAGAGCTCTCTGAGCCCCCCCAGGGTGGCTGTTGTGGGGGTGCCTTTGCTGGGATTTGTCTGGTTTTGCTGTCAGTCCTGGGAATCCCTAAGTGCTGCACAGACCCGAGGCTTAATGATGTATTTAATTTTAAGCATCTCTTTAAATGTTTTTCCCACATCACAGGCTAGGATGTAAATGCAGGCTACTAAGTGAGCTCTGCAGCTTTTGGGAAAGGCCCTTTCCATGTGGGGAGGACAGGAACCCTCTGGGCTTCCTGGGACTCAGCCTGGGAGCTTCCCTGCCTCACAATGCATGAAACTGTTAGGAGAGCCTGTATCCTCCCAGCTGAGGCTCTGCAGATGTCCCTGTCCCCAGAGAAGGTCTCAGCCCTGCAGCTGCACAGAATACCAGCATTTACTGAAAAGCCAGCAGGAGTTTTTGGCTGTGGCATGAGAACTGGCAGTAGCTATCTAAGGGTGCATGTAGGAGAAGGGCAAGTCCAGGACCATCAGGGCTTAAATTACACAGGGATTTGTGCCTCTGTCAGGGACGTCTTGAGAGTCTTCATGGGGGTAGAGGCTGGGAGTGATGTTGATAAGTAGCAGTGGCACAGTCAGGGCAGTCCTGGCAGGTCCTGCAGCGGTGAGTGATGTAAAAAAGTCAGGGCCAAGTGGAAAAAATATGTGTTGTTGAACCAGGGGCTTAGCAGTGAGCTGGGAAAGAATTCATCTCCCAGAAAAGGATGAAGGAGGTAAAGCCTTCAGCTGCTCTGTGCAAGGGAGAGTGACCTGCACAGGGGCCAGGGACACAGAGCTGGGAATTGTTTGTGGGGATGGTGACAGCACATTTAAAGCTGCTCATCCTTACACCATCCTGCAGCACAGGCTGGATCATGGTTCCTGAGAGGGAAAGGGGCAGGGATGAGGCTGGTTTGAGGCAGAGAGGGAAGGTTTTTGTAGCAAACCTTTTCTCTACCTTAATGTATGAGGAGCCCTCCCTCTCCTAGAGCAGGGGACTGCAAAGAAAGCCACCACGTCCTTCTCCCTCTCCAGCAGCCTGGGGCAAGTCTGAGCATCTTGGCACAGGTCTGAGGGTTGAAATGGAAGGAAGGAAGAGCTCCTAATTAGGGACCAGTTAAATGAAGATCAAGATAACCATTGCAGCTCATGGATGTGCTTTGTGCCTGTCCCGCAGAGGAGACTGCTGGGAAGAGATTGATAAGGGAAACATTGATCCTTAACCTTAACTGAACCAGAAACTTTTAGCCACAAGACTCTTGATCAGCACAGCTCAGCCAGGGGAACTAGGAAGGAAAACTCGAGTGTGTGTGTGTGTGTGTGTGTGTGTGTGTGTGTGTGTGTGGTGCTGGCTTTACTGCACCTGCCTCCAGTCTGGTGGGGGAGCCCAGCAGGACAGCCAGGTCTTGGGAGGGGCATGGTGCTGGTGGGCATTGGGGTGGCACTTGGCCAGGCTGCCAAGCCCTGGAGAAGCAGGGAGAGGGAGGAGGAGGATGAGAACTCGAGGGGAAGCGTGTTGCTGTGGCAAATGGTGAAGTTTTGCTGTGGCCAGATTTGCTCCAGGATGTGCCTCTCGTTATTTCCACTTAAGAGCCCTGTTTTTCCTGGCAGTTGTGTTGGCATTTCAGTCCCTCAGATGTGCAAGAACCAGCAATTTTCCTCCTGGCACGACAGGCTGAGCAGTGCTGTGCCTTTGGGCCAGTAGCAGGGCTTGGCCAGCATCCTCCCACCTCATCTCGTGTCCCCTCCTCACCTCTGTGCACAATGTGCCTTGGCCTGATCCATTCATGGAGCCTCCTTTCCCATCAGTTCTCCCCTTCTGCACATCCTGTAACCCACATTTTCACCTGCATCCCCCCCCCATTTCAGCACTGGCACCCCCACCTGCCTCCCCATGCTGCCAAACCCCCCCCACAGTGCACGTTTCCCTTCTCTGTGCTTCAATTCCCTCTGGTTTTGCCGAGATCACTGAACTGCATGTGTTTTTACTGCCTTTTTCCATGCTTCTGCTATGGCTGTAGGACTTCTTTGTGAATGGTAGCTCCAGACAGGTAAGTGAGCACCTGCAGGAGTGTGATGTGGGCAGGGTGAGCGTGGGGCTGGGGACAGGGACACAGGGGGCACGTGGCTGCTTCTGAGGGGGGTTAATGTGTGACAAATGGGCTTGAATCAGAGAGGTGCAAAGATTACCAGAAGGAGCAGCTTGAAGGTTGATGCTGGGGAGGCTGGTAAGGCAGAACCCACCCTCTCTGCTGTCTGGCCTGAGGTCAAAGCCAATGTCTGAGTCCAGGAGTTGGATTTTTAGATGTAGCTGAACACAGAGAAGCTCCTACCCCTGAGCAGTTTTCGTTTTCAGAAGGTAGAAATAAACCCACGGGCTGAAGCTCTCTGCTTGGTCAGAGCAGTCAAGGCATGTGAGAGGGGCAGCTGGTGCTGGATGACTTGGGGCTCATTTTTCATCATCTGCCTCTCTCTCCCCCATTTCATATCTGCATGTTTTCTTCATTGAAACAAAAAAATGAGTAAAAAAATGGTAATTTCAGTGCTCACTCTTGGCCTTTGCAGTGGCCATGTGCCAGGTGTCCTATGCTTGTGGACATTTACGTGGACGTTCATGACCTTGCAGCTCCAGATTGTGTTCCTTCCAGAAGGATTAAATAGCCAGCTTTTAATTGATTAACCTTACTAAAATATGCAATATGGTAAATTAAATCCTGGGGCAACATGAACTCCTCGGGCAGCCCTGCAAAGCTGCTGTTATGTAGATCTGCCCACAACCACAACTCATCTGAAGGTAACCTGTTCAAGCAATTTAGGAGATACAGATGCTCATGCCACACCAATTCCTGCTTTCCAATCCCTTCTTTTGGGAGGATTTCACTGGAAAAGCTGCTGGTTGCTTTTACAAGTCTGATAGCCTGTATTGGTTAGCTGACTCGGGAGGACTGATGCATGAAGGGTGATCACAGATGTTTGGAGCAGGGGTGAGGAACAAGAGCCATGCTGAGTGTGTGCAGCAGCTCGTAATGAAATACTCCATGTGAGGGTTTAATGAAGTATCACAAGTATGTATGCTAGGGAAGGGAAATGTTTCCCGCCTTCATTTATTCAGCAGCGCCCGAGTGTTTGCAGATTTTTAAATCTTCCCTGTCTGAGAAAATATTTACATTTCTAACCAGTGGCTTCAAAGGCAGCTCTGGTTTATGAAATGCCTTGCTGTGTGTCGGTTACAGGCGAGGGGTTTTACCTTAACCTGTGGTGACACTCCTGATTTATGAGGGCCCGCTGTGTATCATGCTGCTGTGTGCTGAGAGTGCTAAATGTCCTTGCTGCTCCAAGGCTCTTCTCCAGGCTTTTCTTCTTGCTATTTTCTTGCAGAAGGAAGATGCCATCGATGACACTTTGAGTTCCCGGCACAAAGTCAAGGAGCTTTCTGTCATAGACGGCCGGAGAGCTCAGAATTGCAACATCCTCCTCTCCAGGTATGGTGAATGCCTTGTTACCCTCTGGAGACTAGGGGGATGCTTAATGCCTTGCCCTGGGCTGCCCTGAGTGTGTTCCTCATCCCTGGAGCAGGGGGTTGATGACAGGAGCCAGTGCAGCAGGAGAGTCAGTGTCACCTGAACCCAGCTATAGCCTTACATCCTCATGGTGGGGTGACCTGGAGGGGGGCAATGCCATTAGCTGTGGCAATTTGGTGACCCTGGCAAGCCCCTGAGGGTCTGGGGGATGGGATACCCAGTGAGATTTCACAGGAGGTGGAAGGGGATTGATTTCACCTCTTATCTTTCTCAGCCTGGGTTTTATTTGCTCTTTGCTGGTGGTTGAAGAGGGTCTCTTTGGGCTGGGGAAGTGCTGGGTATCAGCAGGGTGCAGGGAGCAGCAGGAATTCAGGCAGGACCTTGCTGCCCACATCTAAATTTTGGGAAGGGGATGTCGCCCTCTTACAGCTGCCCTGCTGCTCTGACAGCCTCCCTCACACCCCTCACCAGGCAGGCTCAGCACTGCTAGCAGCAATTTAATCTGATCTCCAAACAGCTGCCAAAATGATAAAAATTATTTTGGCAAGATAAATTACACCAATAAGACTGAATCCTGAGAAAAGGGAAACCAGGTTGTGGTGGTTTAAAAGAATGAGCCATCATCCTTTTAAAGGAGGTAGCTTGTCTACTTCCAAGTGTAGCTGCTTGGAAAAAACACGCAAAGAGCAGCAGAAAATGCCACTTGTTTCTGACTCACCCAGCAAAAAAAAAAAATCCAACATCAGTAAAATTTAAAAATATTCAATCTGCTGTCTGGAGGCACAGAAGGTTCTGTGCCACCCAGGACTGGCCAGGATGTTGCAGCATTGCTGGTGGCTTGGGTTTGCAGCCGAATTCAGTGTTTTCCCAGACTGTGGGTTCCGTCTGGTTCTTCCAAGTGGAGATGGTGCCTTGTCGGGGCAGCCCAGCTGATTTCCTTCTCTAGGAGGCTTGGAGAGGCTGATGTCTGCAAAAAAACCAAACCTCTGGGTGGGTAATTGAGCCCCTGGTGCTTCTCCCAGAGGTGGCTGGCAGCCTGTGGGCAGTGAGAGCGACGAGTGCTGCAGCATTTGGGGGTAAAACTGCCCTGTTTTTGGCTGGCTCTGCTCTGGGCTGCTTCTGGGGATTTTCATGCTTCCTAGCAGTCCAAATAAAAAAGGATGATGATGAAAGCAGAGTTTAAAGCAGCAGGCAAATGAGTATGTCTGTGGCAGGCAGCTATTAGCAAGTAAAACGATGGGATTTGGGGCACTGGCTGAGCTGCTCCCGGCGTACGTAGGCTGAGCGTCGAGTGGGTTTAGGTGTGATTCAGCCAGAGGTTTAAGTGTATATTTGGAAGTTAAGCACACAAATAGCTCCTTCAGTGGGAAGGGGAGAGACCCAAGCACTCAACTTCAAAGGCGTCTTGCACGTCTTACTGAGTGAAGGTCTCAATTTCATCTCACCAGCAAACCTTTCTCTTCCAAGAAAGCAATGGCTGGAAACAAATTGCCAGTAACTAATCCCACAAAAAGGGCAGGATGGAGGTTGCTGCCTGCCTGCCTTTCCCTGTGGGCCAATTCCTAGGGGAAAAGCAGGATCAGACTTGCCCTGCGAGGTGGTCCTCAGGCCTCTGTATGGCTTTTCCCAGGCCCATGCTCACGCAGGGATGAGTGGCTTTGAAGTTGCAGTGACTTGCCCCAGATGTTTTGGAAGTGCTTTGGAGTTCATCCCATGGTACTCCCAGGACCACAATGAGCTTCTCTCCCCAAAATCCCTTTGGGTGATTTGATGCCAGGTCTCTCAGAGGTGGTGTAGAGGTAAACCCCAAGCATCCTTTTAGTGTTCTCAGGTCCAGCTCCTGCATCTCCAGAGGACTCCATGAATCACTGGGCAAACCCTTTCGCCTCTGCCCACCCCAGCTGCCCATCCCAAAGCTGGGCAGAGCAGTGGGTCCCTGGTCCCAGTGTTCCAAAGGGACTGGTCTGGCAGCTGGGCTGCTGTTGTCCCACCTCTCTTGCATGGCCAGCATGGGGCTGAGCAGACTCACATAGAAAGGAGCTGCGGGCTTGGCCCCTGATTTAGCCCAGACATTTGTGAGCTCACCAGGCATTGTCTGGCTCGCAGCGTGGAAAGATTACGGCCAGTGAGATATTTTATCTCTCTCTGTAGATTTATTTTTTTGCCTGTTTCCCTTGCTTTGGGAGAAATTACTGCGCAGTGAGATCACTGGATTTTCCTCCAGCTTGTAATGCAGCACAAGAATATTTTTAACGCTTGCTTTTTCCTTCTGTTTTTTGGAGAAGGCTTTGCTGATGTCAGTGCCTTACCGTGTCTCCCTCTGTGAACCCACCATGTCCTTGCCTTTGCTCCCTGTGTATGGGTGTGTATTTTTAGTCCTGAGTTCTGCCAGATGCAAATCCACCCCTCGCTCCGTCGTTTTCCGGCTGTGCTGGCGGTGAATGCCTCGTTTGATTCCTCTCTCCCGGCCAGGCGACATGAGGCTGCTGTTTTTTTTAACTCAAATGAATGTGGCTTTTCAGGGAGGGCGCGTCCCTTTCCTGGCAGAATTTGTTTTTCCCCTTCACACTTATTACGTCCTGCGCGGGGCCCGACAAAAGCCGCGCCGCGCTGGCCGGGCTGGCGAGCTGTCACCTCGCATCGCCGGGCTGCTGCCTCTAAATCCCTGTGACAGCGAGTCCTGTGACCCCCTTCCTCTCAGACGGCTCGCCTTCGACAGCTGCTGCCAACAATGATAATTATTGTGGTTATAGATAAGCTTCTAGCTTTCACTGGCCCCTTTCCCATCAAATTGTCTGAGAAGCTGTTTTCTTCTGGCGCCCCGCGCTTGCTCTCTGCTGTTGCAGGGGCAGGCTCTTGTTCTTGGCACTGCCTTGTGATGATTCCTGAGAAAAGTTTGGGTTTTCTCTTTTTCCAGCCTCTTTCTTTCTAAATGTGTTTTTATTGTTGACTTTGCTTTCAATGAGTAAGGGCTTAGAAACGTCACCCTCATCTTCCCCCGCCCTCCTGGAGATGATCATGGTACTTTTCTGTGCTTTAGGTGCTGTGGATGAGGAGTAGCTGCCTGCCCACCCCCTTCTCCCAGGAGTATTTTTGCCTCCCAGGGATCCCAGATGCCCAGATTGAGCCAATGTCTGCTTTTCATCAGGGTGCAGACTGGTGTTGGTGGTCTGAGCATTCCTGTTTCTGCTTGAGTATAAAAGAAGTTCTGCAGTTTCATATCCCACCTTGGATCATGTCCCATCCTGGCCACTGCCGTAGTAAGGGACAGGTAGGGTGACCCCAGGATGTGGCTGCTTGTTACTGAAAGCAGCAGAGGGGATATTTTCCAAGGATTCTGGATTTGTTCCTTGTATGATGACCCTAGCAATTGTCTTGGCCGCTGCTCTGTGCAATCTTTGAGCTTCCTCCCCTGGCTGAGGTAGATTTTAATTCACTCCTTAATTAACAGACCCTCTCTAGGGTGCTCCCTTGGTGAGAGGGGACTGTGAGTGCAGGATGAGAAACATGGGCTCGTAAGGAATGAAGATTTACTTACCAGGTCTGTAAGATGCACCTGTTTCAATGAAGCTTGAGCAGTATTGAGCAAAATATTCCAAGCTAAACCAAGCCCTTGCTACCCTGGCCTCAGAGACCAGCACCCTCCCTGTATCAGCTTTAGCTTCCAAAAGCCAACTCCACAGTCTCAGTCTGCTCCCTGAAGAGGTGTGGGGGTGAAAAACACCCTCCTTGTTTAATTACTCAGAGTGATCAAGTCAGCTCCTGATCTTCTTTTTGATCTGCTGATCAGGTTGACTTCCAAGGTCTCACATCCTGCTGCAGGGTGTGTTTCTGGTTTCAGCTCATTCCTTTGAGCCACATCCAGTGTTTCAGCATCCCTTGGCAGCACTGATCACTGATACAGGGGCCATGGGGTTCTTCAAACAGGTCTTTTCAACTCTGTGGTTTTTCCCTGCATGCAAGTGCAGGGAATTACATTTTTTAAACTGGATTTGTTGCAATGGCTTTAACCACAACTGCACACTGGGTGAGAGAGAGGATATAGGTAAATGGAGTTGCAGGAGTTTCTGGGCTTTCCCTTTATTTAATTACGATTATTTTACAGACCACAATGCAGAGAATAAGAAAAATACGTGTGGTTTTGCAATCAAAGTCCTTGCAGGGAGCGGTTCCTTGCAGTCGAATTAAAGTGTAATTAATGGCTGCTCCAGCCCAGGAGGAGCCGAGGGCGTCTTTCCATCTCTCTGTAGCCTCAGCTCAGTGTGGGCTGCTGGCAGAGAGATCCCTGCCAGGGAAGCCCAGCCTGGTGGTGCTCGCTGTGACACAGTGGTCTGTGGTTTTGGAAAGCTCCAATTTGAGGCTGCATCTTCAGTTCCTGTTGGGTGAAGTAGAGGAAGAAAAAGGTGGAGGAGAGGCTGGTTTCCAGCTTCTTACACTTCCAAGAGCATTGAATCCCCACCCTTCCAGAGAAAACCAAACTTCGGGGTTTCCTGAATGGATGCTGAACATCCATTTGCCCAAATTTTGGATTTCTTTCTAATTTTTTCCTAGAGGAAGACTCCAGCCGAAGGTGGTCAGGAGAAGTGGGAAAGACAATGTTTAAATCCAAGAACAGCAGTGGAAATTGGCCAGATTTTCCTTCAGGGTTGTAGCAGTGGGTTCAGGGGCAGTGCTGAGCTGCACTCCTGAGCCTGGGCTGGGCTCTGTTTCCAGTGGGAATGTAACCTCACTGGCCCTGTGGCCTTTGGGGGTGCTGGAACTGCAGGAGCAGCATTGCTATGGGCAAGAGTTACATCTGAAAGCTGGATATTTAAAGTACTGCTTACAATCCTTACATAAAGTACTGTAAAGCAGGGAGATAGGGAGTGGCAGCTGCGGTGTGGGGAGGGGGAATTGGCTGGGGGGGGTTTGACCCCCTGTTTGCAGCAGGGCCAGGGCTGCTCAGTGCTGTGCTGAGCCTTGGCAGAGCACGGTTCTGCCACGTTTCTGACACATCCTCCTTCATAACATGCTGGATAAGCTGTTTGTGATGCTGCTGCTGGCTGGGGGTTCAGCTGTTCGTGTTGCAGGGATGTGTAAGGAAACGCTCCTGAGCCTTCCCCGATTGCTGGGCTGGGAATAACTCTCCTTTCCCTCCACCTCCCAGGCTGAAACTCTCGAATGAGGAGATCAAACGGGCTATTTTGACAATGGATGAGCAGGAGGACCTCCCAAAAGACATGCTGGAACAGGTGGGCAACGTGTCTCGTGCTCCTTTGTGGTTGCCTCATGCTGAGACAGCACCGTGCCAAGTGCTTGGGACCAAAGCATGGCTCTGAGTGTGCTGGGCCCCAAGTTATTTACCAGTCACATGATGAAAACCCACCCAGGTGGAGCAGCAGGAAAGCAGCTTGGTTGTGGCATCAGTGCTGGGAACAGCATGGCCCCCATGTGCCATTCCTGCACCCAGCTGTGCCCTGGGACCCCAAGGTGGGGCCATTTCCCCTTTCTGTGGCTGCAGCTTGAAATCTGTGCTCAGTGGTGGTTTATTTTTGAAAGGTTAGACAGTGTTTGTGCAGTCCTGAAAAGGGGAATCCCATTTTCACCCATTCTGAATCCCTTTGGAAGCATATTATTCACCTGTCCTTAAAGCTGAGCTGGTAATTGCACTTTGAGCAGAGATGTGGGAGGATTCATTGCACAAAATTTCCATTTGCTAATAAGTAGAGTTGCAGCAAATGGGAATCCCTGACTGACATCTCCTCTGGCAGAGCTGATGTTGAAACCTCCTTAGAGCAGACTTAATTCATAGTAAGAGCTGAGTGATGGCAGGGCAGAGGCAGGAGACACTGACGTGATGGAGTAGTGTGAGGAAGGTCACAGGGACAGCAGTAACACTTATTTCACAGGTGCCTTGGGCTCACTGTCTGCACATGCTGAAAAGGTGTTAGACTCAAGGACATAAATCACTTCTTAACTCCTGAAAAAGTGTGCCTGGATCTCATGACCCACTGCTGTCTTTCTCCTGTTCAGCTCCTGAAGTTTGTTCCTGAAAAGGGTGACATTGACCTGCTGGAAGAGCACAAGCACGAGCTGGACCGCATGGCCAAGGCTGACCGGTTCCTCTTCGAAATGAGCAGGTTGGTGCCTCAGGGGACACATTTTGGCCAGTGGCTGCACAGGCTGGTTGGGAAGTGGCTGTTTCACAGAGCCTGCTTGGGAAATAAGCCCTTCTTACTGTTTTTCACATCAAGAAATGAGCGGGCCAAGAAGGCAGGAGGGCAAGAAAGGTGCTCCAGATTGTAAGGATAATTTGTGATGCTGTGCTCCTAAAATCAGGGTTGTGCTCCCATACAAGCAGCAGCTGGACAGAGCAGGGGAGAGGGATGAGGAGATGGATTTTGTGGTGGTTCTGGGTTGATGGTTGGACTAGATAGATGATCTTGAGGGTCTCTTTGGACCTTGATAATGCTGAGATTCTGTAATCTAACCTGGTCAGGTGGAAGGTGTCCCTACAGGGCAGAGGGGTTGCAACTAAATGATCTTTCAGTCCCTTCCAGCCCAAACCATTCTATGATTCATTGTGGCCCAGGTGGGAAGTGCTGTTAAAATGATAACACAATGCTCCTTTCCCTTTCATCCTAACGAATATTCAAGCCTGATGTATGTACATTTTGCCCTGCTGTGTAGAAGAGTCCCAGCTCTCACCTGAGGATTGACTCATCTCTAGGGCTCCTGAGACTATATGAGACTGAAAGGAAATGTCATTTCTTCCTGCTCCTGGCAGCAATCATGTAAAACGTAGGAGTCTTCAGGGATGAATAACCTTACCTATTGCATGCACATCCTCTAGAGGTGCTGGGTAAAAATCTTGAAGCTCCTTATTTAAATTGAACTGAGCATTGAGCTCTTTGAATTTCTTAGCTGAACTTCAAGCCAGTCACTTGTTGGCAAGGTCAGCGAGTTTTACAATTTGAGATTGCACTGGGAGATCAAAAATAGAAATGCTTCTGTCCTCCCCAGGAAATGCACCGATGAGCACTGCAGTGATGTGCTGTGTGGTTGCTGAGTGTCAAAGGCAGGCAGGATGGAGCTGTGAAGTTCAGACCTGAGCCCTCAGGGCTCTGTGATGCTCAGAATTAGCTTTTCTATCACAGGTCACCTTTCTTCTTCACAGACTCTCACCTAAGTGTTGCTCCCATGCTTTCATTCTTTGGAGAGCACAATGTGCTGATGCAAACATTTTCCCTTGATTTCCAGCACGGCTTTTTAATTTTGCCTTGTGGTCTGTAACCGAGTGTGATGTCTCTGTCACCTCTGATTAGTACAACAGCGTAGCTCATGGCCCTGTGTGTGAGCATGTTTCCCGTGGGTCCTTGATCCAAGTGACTCAAATCAGACTGCCACGTGCTCAGGAGTGAGACCTTGATTAGCATAAACACAACTGACATGAGCAGAGCCATCACTGACTTGCCCAGGAAAGAGACTTGCCAGCCCAGCCCATCATTCTGATGATCAGAAGGTCCAGTTTCATTAGTTCTGGTTGTAGGTGAGCTTTTCTCCAGCTGCAGCTCATCACAAAGCCATGGGGAGCCCAGACCTCATCAGCACCGGTGCTTAGGAGTGGCTGTGAAAGAACTGTTTGTTCATACCAACAGGGTGTCAAAATCCACTTGTTGAGCCTGCTGAGTTAAGGGGATAGGCTTAAGTGTGTGCTTTAGAACCCACAGGGATCCACCCCAGGACAGCTGTAGCTTCAGTTGTAATTTTTTTCCCATCCCAGCAGTTTCAGGGAGAAAAGGGGTCATTATTTTTTAATCACTTTGGTTCAAGCATGCTTTGTAAGCACAGCTGTAAGCAGTGGAGCAACAGAGCTCTGCCTGGAGCAAGCAAAGCTCAACCTGCACCTCCTCTTTGTTTTCCAGGATAAACCATTATCAGCAGAGGCTGCAGTCCCTCTACTTCAAGAAGAAGTTTGCAGAGAGAGTTGCAGAGGTCAAACCCAAGGTGGAAGGCAAGTGACCCTGCTGAGGGACCCTGTGCCAGCACAGGGATCACTCCCAGGAAAAGCATCCTCTGTGCCAGGATCAACCTGGTCCACATGGAGCTGGCACTGGGAAGGGGAAGGGAAAGGGAAAGGAAGGAGCTGGTGGTCACTCTCTGGGGGTACTGAAGGGGTTGCTGATGGGCTGTTGTGGCAGGGGGTAATGTCCCACCCCTCTCTGCTTTCAGCCATTCGTGCTGGCTCCAAGGCAGTGCTGCAGAGCACCAGCCTCCAGCAGCTCCTGGAGGTGGTCCTGGCCTTTGGGAACTACATGAACAAGGGCCAGAGGGGCAACGCCTTCGGGTTTAAGATCTCCAGCCTCAACAAGATCGCGGACACCAAGTCCAGCATTGACAAGTGAGCATCCGCTGCCCTTATCCTTGGTAGCATCCATGGGCCCCAGGGGTGTTGGGGGAATGCAGGGGTCATTAGCATTACCTCTGGGACATGGGTAGGTGGGAGCAGTCCCCTCCTTCTGCTGCCCAGTTTGGCACATCCAGTGATGTGGGTGTGCATTTTTTTGAGCAGGACAGCTTTCAAGGGAAGCCAAGCTGCAGATCAGCACGGGGATTGATGGGGCCTTTCCTTCCTGGGCTGGCTAAACTGCAGCCAAGGCTGATTAGGAAGATCATCTTCCAAATGCTTTTTAACCCCTTTGAAGGGAGTTGCCAAGAGCCAGAGAAAGGGTTTCCAGGGGCTTTTCTCTGCAGGAACTCCCTCTGCCACTCTCCCATGCTGATGCAGCCATTGCCTGGTCTGCTCTGCCCTTCTGAGCTCTGTTCACAGAGCAAGAGGAGTTGGTTCAGGTCTCAAACCTGCCTGGTCTCATCCATCAGTAAAGACAGTGGAGGACACTCAAGTCACCTCCCCTGGGTTCTTCCTGTGGAGAACCCTAGCTTGCAGGGACCAGGCTGCTCTGCCCTGTAGCTGTGCATGGGACAGACCCATGCCATGGCCCCACACAGGCATCAAGCAGCATCCTTGCAGAAATCCTCAAATAGTTCATTACTAGGGTTGGGGTTTAACCAGGGGGTTTGGCTGAACAATGAGCTCCCCAAGAAGCTTCCACACTGACCTCTGTGCTTCTCTCTCCTAGGAACATCACCCTGCTGCACTATCTCATCACTGTCGTGGAAAAGAAATATCCCAAAGTCCTCCGCCTGCACGAGGAGCTGCGAGACATCCCGCAGGCAGCCAAAGTCAAGTAAGCAGAGGTTTTGGTGGCACTTAGGCAGCACTGGTAGCACCTCTCCCCTCATTTCAGCCTGCTTTTCCACGTCTCCTCACCCTGGCTCACCCTCCTGGCCTGATCCTGGCTGCTAGGCTGTATTCCATGCCATGGCCACGCTCACAAGCAAACATCACTTGGCGGCTTTTAATCACAGCCCTTGCAGCAAAGGCTCTAAACTTCTGAGCTTGGGGGAGGAGAGCTGCTTGGAGCAGCCGCTTCCTGTTGTTATCTCACCGCAAAAGCATTTAATTAATTTCTAATGGTACATTAAGTAATCCGGGAGGAAGCGGTTGCGGTGTGGCTGCAGATAAAGGGCAGCTGTTTATCTTCATGTGCCAGGGAGCCTCTGCCTGCAGCATGGGCAGGACCAGGCAGCTCTGTCAGGGGCTCACCTGCATCCAGGTCCTGCCTGCCCCTTGTTCTACCAACATGGAGTTTCTGGGGTTTGCAAACAGCTTTTTAAGCCTGCCCGGTGACCTGTTGGGAACAGGCTGCCCCAGTTCAGCAAAGCCCTTAGACACAGCCTGAACCTTTATGTTCAGGAGGAATGTGCTGTTGCCCTGCAAAGCCCTGAAGTATGTGCTGAGGTACCTCTGAAATCAATGAGGCTCTGTTTTGGTTAACTCCAGCAGGAGCTTACGGGTTTTGATGCTTCAGGGATGTGAGCAGCAAAGATCACACATTTCTGCAGCGCTTTGTGTTGGCTGTGGACATGAAAAGGGCTGAAACTGCACATCTATATAGAAAGCATGCAGCTAGAACTGGTTACCCAGAGAAGTTGTGGATGCCCCTTCCCTGGGAGTGTTCCAGGCTGGGTTGGATGGGGCTCAGAGCAGCCTGGGATAGTGGAAGGTGTCCCATGGCAGCGGGGTTGGAACTGGATGGGCTTTGAGGTCCCTTCCAACCCAAACCATTCTATGATGCTATGAAATGTACATGGAGTTTGCAGTGGCTCGAGGGTCTTCCAAGCTTCCAAGGTCTCTTGTAGCAGTGGTGGCTTCCTAGGGAAGATGTGTACTGGGCAAAACAAGGATCCTCATGTATAAAATGTAAAATAATCATCAGCCATTGGGATTGAGCACAGTGACAGGACAAATCTTGGCTTGTGGGAAAGACTGTTCTTCTGCCAGAGGGTGGTTGGGCACTGGAACAGGCTTCCCCAGGACAGCAGTCACAGCACCAAGCCTGACAGGACTCCAGAAGCATTTGGACAATGCTGTCAGGCACAGGGTGGGATACTTGGGGCTGTCCTGTGCAGGGCCAGGAGCTGGACTTGGAGATTGCTGTCAGTCCCTTCCAACTCGGGATATTCCATGGTTCTGTGGGGGAATGCAGGGGTCATTCCCCTGCATTCCACAGTTCTGTGGGTGTGTGGTGCTCAGTTTGTAGGCATCAGCTGAGGGCATGGCTGAGCAGGACATGCTCCATGCTGGTGGAGACTTGGCTTTCCCATGCTCCTGATCTGCAGCTGTTGTACAGGCACACATACGGGAAAGAAAACGCCTGCACAGAGGTTTCTTTACCCCCTAAACTTTATCATTTTGCTCTAAACTGGACACCATATGTAACATTTGGGTTTGGTCCAATCAAGAGTGAAACCAAAAAGTTTCTAAAGCTCTGGAAAACCCTGAATTCCCCCCAGTCCTGCAGCTGTGAAGCAGAAATTGCCGCCTCTGTCAATCCCACCACTAGTAATGAACTGCTGGAGCACAGGCCTCCCAAAACTGCATTTTCCCAGACTAAACCTGCCAGGAATGCTTGCCCCATGACCCAGCATCAGCATTTCCAGGGACCCCAGGCCTTGCACAGACACCCCTGGAAAGGCATCAAGCCTGTGGTCACCAAGGCTTTGTGAGAAAGCTTCCCCTCAGACAAAGTGGTAGAAACCCATAAGCACTTGAATTTGAAGCTCATCGGGGGCTCGAGCCTTGTGTAAACAAAGCCAGCGCCAGACATGGTGATTTATTTTCATTTCTCTATATTTGGGCTGTCTCCCTTTGTGAAAGCCTCACTGCTCCTCGGAAGGATGCTTTGCCTGGTGTTCACCCAGCCGTGGTACCCTGAAAAACTCTCCTCTGTGCACTGGGACAGCGATCCCATCTACTGCTGGACCTGGAGAGAAATCTGTGCCCAGCAAGGCCCTCTCCTGAGCCATCCTTTTGCTTGGAGAGGGCTGGAGGCTGCTGAGCTTGCTAAACCTGCACAGTCCCCTTGATTAAAAATACAGAAAAGCGCTTTGCTTTGAAACAAGCAGCTGCAGCCACTTTGAGATTGTCCCAGCTTAGAGGCTGTCAGCCTGATCTGCTGCTTGAGACACGCTGGTCTGCAAAAAGGAGGCAATGTGGGCAGGGTTTTGGGGTCTTCTCAGTGGGAAAACCATGGTCAAGTTGGTCAGAGAGCTGTAGATTTTGCTGGAAAAGCTGAAAATTAACATCCTGCTATTTCCAACAGCATGACTGAGCTGGAGAAAGAAATAAACACTCTGAGAAGTGGCCTGAGAGCAGTGGAGACTGTAAGTATTATTTAAATGAAGTATAGTGCAGCCTGGCTCTGAGCAGCACTGCATCCCTCCTTGAGGAGGCAGGCCAGGGAGCTCTCAGCTTTTATCTCACATCCTGGAGATCTGCATGCCTTTCCTTCCTGCCCTGCATGTGTGCCTGGCTGTTTTGGCACTGAAGTTCCCATGTGTGATCAGGCACATGCATGGTTTAAGTCTGATACATCCAGGGGGGCTGAGTAAACCCAGTGATGATACCCAAGGAGGACCTGTGATGTGCAGAGGAGTCTCCCCTTGGCTGTAAAACCACTGAGGGTTGGGGAGCACTTCTGCAGCACAGCTGGAGTGGTGATGAAATGGTGGAGGTATCCCAAAGGACTCGCTGTCTTGCTGAATTATCCTGCTTACATAAGCTTTCCTGCAGGATTTGGCTTAAAAGCTTCAGGCAGTGTAATCCAGGGTGTCAGCATGGCAGGGGGAGCAGCAGTGGTGGTGCCAGCAGAACCCCTGGCACTGATTCAGTCACACTCCCAATGACACTTCCAGAGGCCAATGGTATTTGTGTCTCTCATCAGCCAGGGCCTGACCAGATTTACCTTTCTTTTTTTTTCCTCCCCAAAGGAGCTGGACTTCCAGAAGTCTCAGGTTCAGCAAGCAGGTGACAAGTTTGTGTCTGTCGTCAGCCAGTTCATCACACTGGCCAGCTTCAGCTTCTCGGATGTGGAAGATCTCCTGATGGAAACAAAAGAGCTGGTAAGGTCACCATTGTCCTTGAGATCTGAGCAGCTTTTCAGCCTCTCCTCCCTGGCTGTACCCCCTGTCCAGCTGGCATTGTCCTTCTGACCCATGCTTGGGCATTATGATGGACCTCCCTGAGGCCATGGCTAGCTCAGGCCACCCTTTTGGCCTGTTGATGGTAACCTGACAGAGATATTCTCTGCAGTGAGTTAGGACTGGTGACAAATACTCAGCAAACTGTATCATCTTCTGCTGATTTGGCTGGATCTGGAGGAGAAGGTCTGCTCGTGGTCCCCAGCATCTGTGGAAGTCCCCTCTGAAGCAGTTTTCCATGGTTGTTGGAAGGGATGGGCTGTGTGGAGTGCTCCAGCTCTTTGCTTTTTAAACACGTGTCAAGATTCAAGTTGTGTTCCTGTTTTGTCTTAGGAAAGCAGAAACATCCCTGTTTTATAAACTTTATATCACATGAGGAGAGCATTTTCAGCCTTCCCTCCCCCACCAGATTCTCTTGTAACATGGCAGAGAATTGTAAGATCTTGATTAAAATCAGCAAGATTAGCCTCAATTATATTGACTTATATAGTGGCACTTCTCAGATTCCTCCCTGCATCTTGAAGTGTTAAGTTTCTTAAGTAAACAAAGAAATAAAAATGCACTAAATGTCTTTTGAAGAGCCTGGGGCACCCCTGCAAATAAAACTAAATCACACAGGCAGGCTTTAAAAATGTTCCTCTTGGTCTACCCTGCAATATCAAAGCAACTAATAAATCTGTTGGTGCTTTGATTTTGTTTTTCTTTTCTTTTAAGCACGCTTATCTCCAGAATGTGCCTTCACAATTTTAACAAACTTTCTCTGCACAAAGAGTCTCCTTCAGACTGGAAGTGAGAACAAAGAGTGTCAGTCCCAAGGACAACTCGGGGGCTGCTTGGGGACCAGGACACATTGGCAGATCGTGGATGTCCTGTCCTGACCTCTGCTACGGCCTCATTCGACTCCCTCACATTAATGGTGTGCAAACAGCACAAGAGGCCGGAAAACTCCCTATTTCCCTGCCCAGGGCTGTGCCTGAGCCTGGGCAGAAATCTCTTTTAGAAGTTTCACCAACACATTTGGTTTCAATAGCAGAGCATGTGGCAATGATAAATAATACCCCAAAAATACTTCAAAGAAAAACTTAAAAGTGCAAGTTTCCCTTCCCCTGCCGTGTTTACTATTAGTTTTATGTCTTCAGTCCCACAGTATTTTGCTTCCTTGTTTTTACTGCTGCTTAGTTAATAAAGTGGAGCTGGGGCAGGGGAGGCTCAGCAGAGCTAGAGGCAAGATGGGGAGAGGGGGCTTGATAGTGATCCAGGTCTTGCAGGGCAGCAGGTAACACACCAGGTGATTTATTTCAGGTTGAAATCAAGGCTTGCTGTGGCAAAGCCCTGCTGTGTGGTATGGCTGCTGGAAGTGTTTCGCTCTGCTCCATCAGGTTGAAAGTTTCACCAGTCCAGTGGATTTATCCAAGACTGATGCACTCCTGTCTTCTCTGTTCCAGTTTTCCAAGGCTGTGAAGCACTTCGGAGAAGACACAGACAAAATGCAGCCAGATGAATTCTTTGGCATCTTTGACCAGTTCCTTCAAGCTGTGACCGAGGCCAAGCAGGAGAATGAGAACATGAGGAAGAGGAAGGAGGAGGAGGAGCGCCGGGCACGCATGGAGGCCCAGGTGAGCACACACCAGCAAGTCTGGCAGCACCCCCAGGGCACCTGGGAGTGGCAACCGTGTCATGATGTCCCCGTGGTGGTCAGGGTGGCATGGGGAGCACTGAAAACCAGAAAGGGAGCTTCTGTGGTCTTAGACCCACTGGCTTTTGGCTTTTGATTACTTGATTAACTAATGACCTTGGGCTGGTGAGGTCTTGCAGCTGAAATGTGCAGCAGAGCTGGTGCTGTCTGTCGACTGCTGTGACCCACGAGCAGCAGCCATGGGGCTGTGACTCGCGGCTTGTATCATAGAATCTCAGAACCATAGAATGATTTGACTGGAAGTGACCTAGTTCTAGTTTCATCCCCCTCACTGTGGGCTTGGACACCTTCCACTAGACAAGGTTGCTCCAGGCCCTGTCCAACCTGGCCTTGGAACACTTCCAGGGATGTGGTCTGTCAATGACCCTGACCAGCTCCCATGTGCGAAGCAGTGGGGTGGGAAACCACCCTTGTTCCGTGATTTTGGGGATCACCACGCATGTGTTGGACACCCCCACAACCACCTGTGCGAGACTGAGACGCTTTCTCTTCCCCCTCCACCACGGCCTGCAGCTGAAGGAGCAGCGGGAGCGGGAGCGCAAGGCGAGGAAGGCGAAGGAGACCGGGGAGGAGAGCGGCGAGTTCGATGACCTGGTGTCGGCCCTGCGCTCGGGAGAAGTCTTCGACAAGGACCTCACCAAGCTGAAGCGCAACCGCAAGCGCATCACCAACCAGCTGGCGGAGAGCGGCCGCGAGAGGCCCGTCACCAAGCTCAACTTCTGAGAAACAAACTGACAACAAAACCCGGCAAAAGACACGCGGGTCAGTCTTTCTGAAGTGGCTGTGGTTTTTGGTTGGTTTGTTTATTGTTATTTTTTTTTGCGTTTCCATGACACTGCCTTGCGATTCGAAGCGGAACAGTGGCACGCTCTTTGTCCCCGCGGGCGAGCGTGGGTGTGTGTATATACTGTGTATATAGTCGGGTCGGGGGCGTGTGGAGGGAGGTGCGTGGGCAGCTCGCGTGGGTGAGTGCCAGCACCGACTCCTCCCCGCTCCAAAAGTAGTTCTCCCCATGCACAAGCACAATGCCGCGTCCGTGGAGCAAGAGAGGACCCAACCCCAAGCCGCCGGTTGTCCCCGTGGTCCCAAAGCCAACGGGGAGAAGCTGCCTCCTGCTGCTCTCCTGCTCAGAACCCCCAGGGGCCATTTGCAGGGGACGCCTTGCACACAAGCCAAGCGGTTTAAAGAAGAAAAAAAAAAAAAAAAAAAAAAAAAAAAAGAAAAAAGCAAAGTTGACTGAACTTTAATGCATTGTTTGTTTGTTTGTTTTCTCTCATTGTTGTGATTATTCTGAGAAACTCGCAGATCTGCGCGTTCGCGCTGGCTCCCGAGCCCGGCGCCGCGGGCGCTCCCAGAGATGCTCTTCCCGTCATCCTTGGGAAATTCTCTTTTTCCTCCTGCTGCCACCTTGCTAAAGGACAAACTTTACCCCAAAGTGCTTCTCGCTGTAACGCCACACTGATGTATTTATACTTTTGCAACGTTTTCTGGCCCAAGACGGTGGGAAAGGTTCGGTTCTCGGAGGAGACGAAGAGCACAAACTTTTGCGTTGTAACTTTTGTTCTTGCTTTCTGTTCAATGGGACAAACTGTATCTTCTGTCAAGGTGGGTCAGGACCAAATGTCTCTGAAATACAAAGGGGTTGGGGTAAAACCCACCAGCTTTCACCCACCTTCTTTTCCTTTTTCTTTCTCGGACACACAGAAGCAGCGATGCCAAGAAACACTCGTCTCTTAGCCAGGTCCTTTTTTTGACTGGTTTGCTGTTCATTGTCATTGCAAATTTGTAAGCAGAACTACCTGTCAAATGTCAGTCCAAAAAAAAAAACAAAAACGAAAAAGACAAAAAAAAAAAACCAATAATAAAAGTAATTCAGAGCTCTCAGGGAGTAATAATTTAAGGGTTTAGAAAATTAAGAATTGGAGAATAAAAAATAACCACCATTAACATATTAACATTTGTATTCTTAAATTATGCTGAGTATATAGAGGACTGTTACTTTTTACTTTTATTTATTTGTGGTATGTTTTTTAAGAAAGCAAAACAAAACCTTTTTATACCACCAATACTTTTGTGATCTTTTTTTTTTTTTTTTTTTTTGTTTGTTTGTTCTTTTTCCTGTGGAGAGATGAGTTTGTCCCTGTTGCACTAGATATTAACACTATTTGAAATAAGGTTGGTTGTTCTTTTTTATTTTTTTTTTTGTCAGATAATCGGTATTACTGGTGGGGTATGGGATGCCAGTTAACTATATGTACTGTATAGCAAAAGTGCTGTTTAAACTAATTTGTATAGAAAAAAATATGGTTCTAAGCACCTGAAGGCCGCAGGGTCTGTGTGCTGAGTGAAAGCTGTGAAATCTCTCTCAAAGCAGAGTTGTCAAGAGCTGTGGTTTTACCATTTTGTTCTTTCCTTCATTGCAACATTTAACGCACTGTAGATTTTAAAAAAAAAGAAGAAAAAAAAAAAAAGAAAAAAGGAAAAAAAAAAAAGACTTTCTGAGTAGCATATAAAGCAGTAATAAATATAGCAGGTAAGCTCTGAAATAAAGTCCAGCACCTCATATCCAAGCAGCTGCAAAACCTGCAGATTATGTTCAAAGGTGGAGTTAAGCACTTTGCTTTAAGAAGGAGGGGGAAATAAAGACAAAAGGTAATGATAATACTATTCCTTAACTAAAGTGCCTCTATTTATATTTTTTATTTATGGCTGAAAAAAATGGGGCTGATACAATTGAGGGAATGGACTATGGGGGGAATTGAAAATATATAAAATAAGAAGAAAAAAAAAAAGGTTTAAAAAAAAAAAAGTTTGGCTTCTGATGGTTTAAGGAATGGTTGGTCACATGTGTTTATTATTGGACAGGTGGTGGAGGTCAGAAAGGGAGATCTCCTCCTGGGGTCTGGGTGCCAGCACCCACCCCAGCTCCTGCCTCTGCAACCCCAGTGCCACATCAGGACCTTTCCTGACAGATTTCCTCTTGCCCTTCCAAACCTCTTGGGTTGTTTGTTTTTTTTTTAATTGTTTTACAACAGCCTGATTATCAGGCTGACTTTGCCATTTCTTTGTTTTCTTTCAAAAAAAAAATAGAAAAAAGAAAAAATATTATATCTCTATAAATAAATACAAAGGCTGTGTGCAGGTAATTCCATGTGCCATTGTCGAAAACTACTTTTAGATTGGTGCTGGTGTATGTAGCCACTCTTTTCTCTTGGGTGTGTATTTTAAAGATGATTTTTTTTTTTTTTTTAATAATGCCAAAAAAAAAACAAACAAAAAAAATCCATAATAATTTGTAAACAAAAGTTTATGTCTTGGACCTTATTAGCTTCGTAGTGACTAAGGTAGTCTGTTAGGTGCAAGGATGTTAGTAGTTCTAGCTAGTGGGAAATGCTGTGTAATGTTATGAGACTGTACATTTTCTAAGATGGCAATATGCAATAAAGCAAAACAAATTCGGTGAGTGTACACAGCAGAGGCGTGAGTTATTTTTTAGGGGAAAAAAAATTGAATAATTAGGAATTGAGGCAGGTGTGGAAAAAAGAGGCTCTCTGAGGGTTGCCCTTTTTCAGGTGTGTTTGCAGGCATTTCTGGGGTCAGGTGATAACCCTTTCACCCTTTTCCTGAGTGCTAGGTTTTAGGAGGTTTTAGGGGTTTTCCACCCTCCAGGATTGCAGCATCCTCATTGTCACCCACGTGTGGGTTCTGAAATGCCTCCCAGTTGGTGAACCTGTCCATTCCTCCTCCTTGTGTTGTTGCTGATGCCTGTTCCCACCTTGGTGGGAATTTTTCCAAAAGCCCACTGGGGCTTTTCCAGGATCCTGCATGGAGGCAGCAGCCAGTTTTGCATCTTGGGATTAGATCCTGTCCCTTTTTCCAGGAGAAGTGCTGGCTGGGCTGGCCACCGTGCCTCTAGCGAGCCTGTCTAGTGATGTTTCCTTGGCAGTAGCCCAAACCCTTTCTGGCTTATTCCTGCTCACCTTTTCCTTTCCCACACACCTTTCCATCCAGGCTCTGTTTTACTTTCTTTTTCCAGCACTCTTGAGTGATTTTTGCAGCACCCAAAGATGCCCCCAGACCGCACAGCCTGTGCCAGTGGGAGAATCTGCATTGTGCTGTGACCCATGGGCTTCCCAGTTTGGATTGGGGCTGGCAGGGAGCACAGATTCCATCACCACCCCGGCAGTCGTGGGCTGGTGATGTCATGGGAAAGCAGCCCAGGGCTGTGTGGTGATAGGACCCAGGGAAAACAGGAATGGCTTCAGCTGCTCTTCCCATCATAAATTCCCGTGTCCCCAGCATAGGGCTGGTCTGGGTTCATCCATAAATAGATTGTGAACAAGCTGGCCAAACCCCACAAACCTATGAGGACCTGAAATTCTAGTTTATGGCAGATTGCAGGTTTCCTTGGCCATGCCATTGTGTGACACATCATGGTCCCCAGGACAGGGGCAGGGAGACGTGAGTGAGGTCAGGACACAGCTTTTTATTCAAACAAGATACTTGATGGGGAAAAAAAAAATCCTGATAACTTTGAAGCTTCAGTGACTTCAAACCCTTGCACACGGCTGGATTAGCAGCATCTATTGTTTAAGATACAAATTTCAGATACAATGTTTGTCATCCCAGAGGAAAGGGGACCAGGGTGGGCACTGTGCTGGACTGGCACACCTGTGCTGTGTGAGCCCATGTCCTCCTGGCTGGCTGGGTTTTCACCTGAAAAAAGGCTCTTGTGCCCCAAATCCTGGCTGTTCCCTCCAGTTACAGCCATGAGCCAGCACACCCTTGGGTGCTGGATGATCCAAACCTGCCCAGACCCGCTGGTGCCAGGGAAGCTGCCGGGCACGGCGCTCCTGGAGGAATTGTCCCATGGGGCCACCCAGGTTGGTGGCACCAAACCTGCAGAGCCAGCCCTGACTGCGCTTCGCTCTGGCAGCTTTCCCTGATGCCGAAGGATGGGAGTGAGGAGTGTCAGGTGTCACCTCACAGCCCGGTGTCCTCGGCATCGCCCCCCAGCTCGGAAAAGAGTCAAGGTGTCGTGGCAATGGCCCGATGCAGGCACGGCAGCATTGCAGCATTGCATGCAAAGCTCAGCTCAAGTAGGGCAGGCACAGCTACGTGGGGAGACACACCCAGCTCCCATCCTGCTGGCAGCCGCTCTGTGTCACTGGCAGGAGCTGCTGGACTATTTATTTAATCCCAAAAAAGGGGACTGTGGGCCAAATGGACCTGTCAGACTTTGACATCCCTGCTGGAGGCCCTTGGGAGAGGGTAAGCAAAGCAGGGATGTTGCCAGTTCTGCTCCCACCTGTGCTGTGGGACCTGTCCCCACTGCCACTGTCCCCGTGTCACATGTCAAGCAGATGCTCTGGGGTAAAACTGCACTTTGCCATCATCACTATCACACAGCCTGATCAAATCTGCAGTCCTTGTGCAGGGCTGGCTCTGCTGGACTGCCTCAGGAACAGGTACAAGTCTCATGAGGAGCAACTGGGGGAGCTGGGGGGGCTCAGCCTGGAGAAGAGGAGGATCAGGGGGGACCTTCTCACTCTCTACTGACAGGAGGGGACAGCCAGGTTGATCTCTTCTCCCAGGTAACAAACAACAGGACAAGAGAGAGCAGCCTCAAATTATGCCAGAGCAGGTTAGATTGGATATTGGAGGAAAGTTCTTTGTCCCAAGAGTTACCAAACATTGGAACAGGCTGCTCAGGGCAGTGGTGGAGTCACCATCCCTGGAGGTATCTAAAAGCCATGTAGGTATTGCACTTGGGGACATGGTTCATGGTGAGATTGGCAGTGCTGGGGGAATGGTTGGATTCACCAATTTTAGAGATATTTTCTAATCTAAACCATTCTGCAATTCCAAACAATCCTATGATTCTATGATTTAAATTCCCATAAAAGCTGGTTATTTCACCAGCCTGCGCTTTGGGTGAACACACTATTCGAGCTTGGCTTCTGGGGGAAACAGGAGAGGCCATGAGGACACAAAGGTGATGGATGCAGGACGGAGGGGATGAGCCCCATCTCCACTCCATCTCCTGCAGCAAATCCTGCAGACATCTCTCCTGTGAGCTCTGGCACTGTTCAGGGTCCTCCAACAGATGCATGTGAAAAGGAGAGCTCTCTGTTTGAATCAGGAGTGCTCTGACCTGAAACCTCGGAGCATTTTGTGTCATTTTTAGCCTTAAACCAGGCTTGATGAGTGTGTGCAGGTAAGCCAGGGAGGAATCTCATGCTGCCTGGCCCCACTGGAGCCTCAGCACAGGCTGAGGAATGTGCCATCTGCTGGTACTTTCCAACTTCAGCATTTTAGAGCTGTCAAGTACAAAATCAGTTCAGCTTGTTTTCCTCTGCGATCTCTAGTGTGGTCTGAAAAGTTCCCACGCTAAATTTTCTATGCAAGTTTCCCCCAGAATGGTTGAGGAGGGATAATTTTAATTCTCTCCACTGTAATTCAACTCAAATAGCCAAAGGTCATAGCCTGTGGCCTGTCTGTGACTTTTGGCAATGTCTCACCTTCAGGTGGATGCAGAGTGTGTGAAGGTGCAGGCTCCAAAAATGCCCATGTGTGTAAGATAAACTAACTCAAAACAGTTTAGTGGGTCATCTGAACTTACTTTCATGGCTTTTGAAATTACCACAGAGTGTCCCACTCCACTACAGCGTCCCCAGGGCTTGCCCCAGTGCCAGGGTTTATGTTGGGAGCCTGTTTCTACCCAGCTTTCCTTACACTTTGTATGCACTCTGTTGTCACACCACAAAGAACTTGAAATTAAGCTGGAGTTTCCCAGTTCTCAGAGCAATTCTGTGAAGGTAAGTCATTGCAATTGCCATTTTCCCATTACTTTCTTTACTGGCCCATATTCCAGTAGTTGCCCATGTGCTCTCAGCTCAGAGGTGGCTCAGGACACACATGCTTTGGTTTTGGGCAACAGCAAGCAGAGCTGCTCTAAACCAGATTATCCTGGGCACCACCACACCATGTCTGGAGGACACAGCTTCATTCCTGCTGCCTAACCCATGCCTTTGGCCTGCCAGGACACTGCTGTAGGCTGGGCTGGGACAGTGCCCCTGGCTTTATCTGAGCTTTGGGTGCTGAAGGGTACCAGCAGCTTTTCCATCTGCTTGAATTTGTGCCTGTGTACTTTGACATGGCTTTGCTTTGCCAGGCTCTGTGCAGAGCATCCCCTGGGCTGAAGGAAAAGCAAGCAAGTCTCAGATTTGCACTTTGCCCAGCTCCTGTTCATTCCCTAAACCCCTTTTTGCTATGAAATCAGTAAGAAGCACTCAGGCAAGACCTAGTTTCTATAGGAAGTCTTTCCAATTTCATAGCAGGAGGAGATCACCATTTGAGTTACATTTTCTGTAAAGACTCCACAATTCACATGCTGTATTCAGAACTTGACATGACCTCAGGGATGCTATATTACCAAATGTTCTGTAAAATGCACCAGACTGAGCACAGAAGCCACAGGCACAGACCAGGCACAAGTGCTGCAGCACATTAGATTCCACTAGAAAAAAAATAAGTGACCTGGTTACTCAGAGCATTTTTTTATCCCTGATGCTGAGATTAGTTCAGAGTATGTTGCTAAATCAGGTAAGCAAATTACATTTACAGGGTCGTGAGGAAATTGCTGGGAGGGCAAGATGAATTTCAGAGAAATTAATTTTGCTGGTTTTGTCCACACCTGCCCTGAGGGTAGATGAGCCTGGGGCGTGTGTTAATTTGTAGGGCCCATCCAGAGGGGTTTTGAAGCACCAGCATCCTCCCAGCTGCTCTCTGATGGAGTGGGGTGGGCTGGGCCAGCCTGGTGTTTTCCATAAACTCACACAGGAGCCAGCCTGGTGTCCATGTGCAGCCCCAACATGGGGACAATTTTCACCTGCTCTGAGTGTGAATCCCTCAGTGAATTCCTCGGGCCAAGCTCCCAAGTGTTTAATCCAAAGTGTTGAAGTGGCAGAAGCAGGAGAAATCCCTGCTTGTTCTGGCCCCTGGGAGAAACAGGGATGTTCCTCCAGATGTGGAAGGCTGACCAGCACTATTTCCACTCCCAATCTCCATCCCAGGAATTGAGGAATATCATTTTCCTGAGTGATTTCCCCAAAGTCATCACAGCTGCATCTTTCCACTTTTCTTTATGGTGGCAAGGAGGTGTCCCCATGTCTGAAGGGAAAGCAAATGTGTGCAGCACTGCAGTTTGCAAACACCTTTAACTCTTCAGTGCACACAATAAAAGACACCTGAGGAAAGGCACAATCCTCTGGTCTAAACAATGCTTTTAAAAAAACTTTGTTATCTTTATGATTACCTTTAGATGTTCACTTAGTTTCTGAACTGACTACGCAAGAGATAAGAATAAAAATAAAGGCAAGAATAAAGGACGTATAAAGTTATGGATCCCAAGTACTCAGAAATTGCTCCCCAGTTGGTTTTGTGGGCTTCTGGCAGTGCTTGCCTTTGTGAAACCAGCTCAACCTGGAGGAGCTCAGTGCCAGCAGGTCAAGAAATAACACAAATAACAAGCAATTCCTCTCAGGTGATTTTACTTCCTCTGCTGAATCACAGCTGGATCCTACTCATCTCTTATGATCACTCCAGGAGCCTGTGGGCACATTGGTGTGCTCTGCCACCCAGTACAAACAGCCCCAGCAAACAGCCTGCCTTGTTAAATTTCCTTCTGTCACAGCCTCCTGGGGTCTTCTTGGCTGAGATCATCCATAACTCCCCAGACAAATTAGTGCAGGCCTTGGTGTTGTGCCCTGGGGTTTCTGCTGCTTTCACTTTGATTCCCCTTGTGACTCAACCATTTCATGCTGAGAGGGATTCACAGTCTGTCTCTCTCCATGTCACTTTTCCTCCTGCTTCCTGCAGTGATGATTTCCTAGGAAAAAAAAAAAAAACAAACCTAGAAATACTGAGCTGTTGCCCAAGCACTTTGGCTGTGGTGAGTGTAGATACTTCAGGACTCAGGTAGCAGCCTGCCAGCAGCATGGCATTGAAAACCCATCACTCCTCTGCAAACTGGGAGCAGCAGGAGGGCTGGCCATGCTACAGGAGGAGGGCTGGCCTTGTCCTCCCACATTCAGCCCCAGAGAAGTCACTGAAACTCAGCCCACTGCTCATGGCAAGCCCAAGGCTTGCAGCAGCAAAGCAGCACTGTGCAGTTGGGCATGAGGTCCCCCAAAACTGGATCTTAATGTGGGATATTCCTCCTGGAGGACTCGGGACTTCTTCTTCCTAGCACTTTGTGGCTCTGTAATGCTTTGCAAGCAGATCTAGATGAGCACCCATTTATTATTAATAATCAGAGCCATTATGTGAAGATACAAAAGCAGCCAGAGTGCAGAGGCAGCTGTGCTGCTGAACAAAGCACCCTGCCAGCACTAGGACTGATCTCACCAGCCCTGCAGGCTGCAGGTTTGTAGCCCTGGCCTGCATGCACAAAAGGCCACTTTTCTGATGTGCCTTCCAAATTATTCATTTCAGCCTGTACAACAAACTTCCCAAAGAGCAGCACGTGTTGAATCTGTCTTTTGAACTAGGTTTTGGTGAGGTGCTCTTTGGGCATGGGTCACAACCCCTACCCTGAGTGCTCTGATTTGGGAATTTGGAAGGGCAGTGGTTGATCTCATTAACAGAAAGAGACTTTTCTCAGGATCACTACGGGGCAGCTGTGCTGGCTGCTCAGGTCTCTGCTGGCATCTGCTGGATACAGGAATCAACAGCAGCGCTGAAAGAGAGGCAGCAATGGGGTATTTCGTACTCCTGAGCTCTCCCAGTTCTGGTGATTGATGGCAGCTATTACAGCCCATCTGGCTGTCACTTATAAATACTGCTAATTGGACTGCTAATTGTTCACAGTTCGTAAGTTATGCACACAGCATTTGCTTTGAACGGAGGCTTCATCCACAGATTAGGAAGGGAGTGGAAAATAACTACTTGAATGAATCTGATGATTAAATCAGCAGGAAAACTACCGCTGCATGCAGTTGGAGCAGTATGTTCTAAAAAGCTTGTCATTCATCAAGATTTAATGTTTTCCTTCTGAGATATAATGCATTAGTTCAGTCAGGAGCGTGTTGTCATTGCCAAATAGTAAGGTACTCTTAAACTGAGGGTTTAAGTGTGCTGGAAAGTCAACAAGAGACTAAAGAGCCCAAAGACTCATTTTTAATTTGCCTTTGACTGAAGTTGTCTTCAGGATCCAGGGCTGAACTGGCCTTCAAATCACTTGAGCTCCTCTTTCTCTTATGCTGAATATCCTGCACAGAATAATCCACGTGATTTTTGGTGTGCTAAAATATGTCCCACCATCCTTGATCAAATAAAATTTGTGCAGATTGCTTTGTCCAGGCTCATCTCAAGGGAGGGAAAAGGAAAGAAGCTGGAGGGTTGGAGCCTCAGAGCCAGTTTTGTAGGGTCTAAAACATCAGTGTCTTCCTGCCTTCTGAGGTTTTCAGCCCGAAGAAAGGGGACCTCTAAGTGGGGTGACAGCAGCATGGGCATGTGGGAGATGTGGGGGTGATGTCGCACAGTGGCTTGGCCAGGAGCCACCTGCTGCAATGTTTTGTCACCCATGAACAAGCAGCTGCAACTACAGGCAGAGTCTTCAGACCTAGAGTAAAACAGTGGCTTAATCCACTGGTTTATTTCTCCCAGATGAACTCGTGGAGCCATTGTGAGGTGCAGGGACAGACCTTCTCACCCACTCTGTGGTGCTGGGTGAGAGGCACAACGTTCAGCAAAGCTGGGACACTGCAGCATTTCAAGCACTGTTTTGGCAGGCAGCCTGCAGCTTTGTTTGTGGTTTATTGAAGACCATTTGGTTGTATTTTTTAAAACATACTTTTAAAAATGTGGCTGTAGAGACCTATGTACCTGACTTGTTCAACAGTGCTGTGATGAGTGGCTGAGGGAGTGTTTAGCCAGGAGTAAAGGAGGTTTGGAAGGGATCTCTCTACAACAACCTGGTCTCTTCTCCCAGGTAACAAATACAAGGGCCAGATGAAAATGCCTCAAGCTGCACCAGAAGAAATTTAAATTGGATAGTGGGGAAAATTCCTTCAGAGAAAATGTTGCCAAACACTGGAGCACACTGCCCAGGGAAGTGGAGGAGTCTCAATCCTTGGAGGCATTTAAAAGACATGTAGATATGGCACTGAGGGACATGGGCTAGTGGTGGATTTGGCAGTGCTGGGACTTGATGACCTAAGAGGCCTTTTTCAATGATTCTGTGATTCTGTGATTATGAGGAGCACAGGCCAGGCACAGCTTTGAAACACAAGCTGCTCTCTACTGAAGTTGAACCAGGTCCATGTCAAAAAGGATCAGGTCAAGAATCTCCCCTTGCTACAGCCCAAGTTAGCTCTTCACAGAAATGTGCCAATTTGTGATGCCTCCAAAACCACAGCCAGCTGCCCTCATTCAATTCCTCATATGTAAGACTAACATCCACCAGCCTGAGCTTGTTAAAAGTATGTTGAAACCTGTGTTATAGCAGCTTCACCACCACTTTCCTAGAAAGCTGAGTGACTTCCACTCACAGTGCAGCTCCCTCAGTCCTGCCATCCCCAACCCTTCCCTTGCCATAACTGACGGCCACAGAGATGCTTCCCTGGGCTGTGGTACCCTGGTCAGGACATCAAATCAGTAGAAAAGGAAACCAGTATGAAAAAGAGGGAATCGGTGGCTCTTCAGTGCCTGAGTCAGCTAGGGTGGCAGGGACAGAAGGGACAGGGAAGGTGGCCAGAGCCAGGCACTGAGGGAAGCAGGACCACCCTTTTCAGGAGCTTTCTGCCATATGCTCTGCATGATCAATTATCCCCCACCAACCTCCTTGTTACCACCTGCAGCTACCCAGGTAAGAATGAAATCCAATCTCATTATTCTCAACCACCCCTTTCCATTTACACTTAGCCAGCATTGCTGTGGAAGGGCAGGTGTGCCAGAAATTCCTGTCCTGCCCTTCCCTTCCAACAAGCCAGCCGTGTTCACTCGCTGTCAAACAGCTCCTGTGAAGAGCAGTGGGCTTTCTGCACAGCTGCTTTCTGAAACAGCAAAAAGACACTGCTCAATCTGCAAAATCCAATAGCTGCAGGGCAAATTAGCAGTGCTGTGTAGTCAAGGGTGAGATCTTTTCCTCATTGGCTTCAGGAACATGAGAGAAGAAAGTTACAGCAATGCTTACAGCATTGAAACCAGCTCCATTAAAATTTCACAAACAATTAGGTCTCTCTACTATCATTCATCTGGCAATTTTTTACAGGAGTTCCCTTCCCAGTGCTGGCCTGAGGATAATGCCAGGCTGAGACACTTTCTTTTCCTGCATAAAAGACAATTTATTTATTGTTTCACAAAATAATGATACAGTGTTTACTTGCATCACAAACAGCTGAAAAATAAGGTAAAACCAAAACACTGTATTTTTAAAGCCTGTACAAGGAAAAATACCGTCTCACACTTAACTCTGGCAAAGACAAATGAAGGCCAAATCTTAATTTCTGATTCAAAATACTAATTTAAGGCTTTGGGCCTTTGAACAAGAAGATCAATATTATCAGAACACTGATAAATTCATTCAAATTTATGCTATGCAATCGCACTTTCATGGTGCTATTTTCAACAGCAAACAGCTGGTTTTTAACTATTGTATTCCAATGGATTGCTGCCATCAATACAACAGTATCTGCTCTGTGCATATACACATTTTCACACGCTGCAGAGCACACACGGAGCACGTGGTACTGGTTTACCTCTCCTTTCACACCCTTCTCTCACACAACTCCTCTAATTATGGTAAAACTCTTGGAGATGTGAGACACTTTGGATGAGCTCAAAAAGAAAACATGTATCTTGTGCACACCACAGTTTACGCCCACACCCTTTTCAGTCTGTCTGAGGAACTCATATTTCTCATATTCATAGTATTTTAAGTTGACTGTACCTGCAAAAAAAGAGAAAAGGCTGCTGAGATTCCAACACCTGAGGTATTACCCTCCTTTCCTTCCCATCCAGTACCACACATTTTCCCTTTTACAATTACTTTTTTTGTTATGCTTCAGAGTTTAAATAAAATAATAAATAGCTCACTTTTCCAGCCTGTCCTACAGTCTGTGACTTCATGACTGTTGGCACTTCCACATATAATGGGTAAAAGCAACATGTTCCTGCCACGATGAGGTTTTCACAGTGTGGTGTTTTCAGAGCGGCTTCCAGCTGCCAGTGCTCAGCTTTCAATTGCTTTTTTGGCACTTAACAAACAGCTCACACAGTCGTTCAGTCAGCTTTGGTGTGTCAGCCTCTGAGCTTCACAGTGGCACTTTCTGCAGGTCTGGAGCAAATGCTGCCCTGTTCCTGCAGATGAGCTTTTAGGCTGGCTGGGCTTGGTGGCCGTCACCGATGCATCAGGCCTGCTGAAAAGGAAGGATTTCCCTTCCCTGCGGAGCTCTTGCTGCTTGTAGATCGGGTCTCCAAAGCAGAGCTCGCACAGTAGAGAAGAAACACAGTCCCATCACAGTTTCCCGGTAATCCGGCTGCACAGGGCTCCAAGCACCAGGACTTTCTTCAGGGAGAGCCCCGGGGCCAGATGCCTCCATCCCGGCCCCCCATCCCCTCAGAGGCTGGTGTCGACGGCGCCCGCTTTGGCCTTCAGGGTGGCCTCAGAGAGAGTGTCCGGCTGTCCATCCCGACAGAAGAGCACCGCGGGAGTCTTGCAGGCCCACATGGCCACCTCTCCGCCGCTGGCCGGGCTGGAGGAGGACAGGCCGCTGCCCGGGGGGCCGCTGTGCCGATTGATGTAGCGCTCCCGGACACGCTCAGCCCGGCTCCGGGGCTCCGGCTGCCGGCCGGGCACCGACAGGTAAGCCACCATGTTGTTCCTAGTCCTGTAGCCGCCCTCCCGGCTGCGCCGCAGCAGCACCGAGATGTTGGGGTTGCGGGCGGCGTAGATGAGGGGGTTGATGGCGCCGTTGGCCCAGGCCATCCCGCTGGCCACGGCGTCCATGGTGGGCGAGAAGGGCAGGCGGCCGGCGGCCGCGGCCAGCCCCAGGATGCAGTAGGGCCCCCAGCAGCAGATGATGGAGACGATCATGATGAGGACGGTGGTGGCCGTGCGCATCTCCCCGTAGGCGCGCAGCAGGTGCCCGTAGGTGGTGAGCGGCCGCACGCGGCTCTCGGCCAGCCGCACCGCCCGGCAGATGTTGAAGTGGCAGAAGCACATGACGGCGAAGGGCAGGAGGTAGCAGAGCACGATGAGGGCAGCGCCGTAGGGCGGCCCGAGCCGCGAGGAGCCCCAGGGCAGCACGTAGACGCAGCGGTAGGCGCCGGGGTTGGCTTCGCGCCGCCCCTCGCCCGCCAGCCCGTACCAGGGCCCGGCCAGCGCCAGCGCCGCCAGCCACACCGCGGCCAGCAGCTGCGCGGCGCGGCGCCGGCCCATCTTGTGCCGCGGCTGGCGGACGATGGCACAGTAGCGGTCGAAGGAGAGCAGGGCCATGGTGAGCGTGGCCGCGATGCCCAGCCCGGCGTGGAGGGCGGCGCTGGCCAGGCACAGGCGCTGCCCGAAGAGCCAAGCGCCGGGCGGGCGGCTGAGCAGGCTGAGGAAGGCCAGCGGCAGGCAGAGCAGGGCGCCCAGCAGCTCCGACAGCGACAGCGACAGCACGAAGGCGTTGGTGACCGTGCGGAGCTGCCGGTGCCGGGCGATCACCAGCACCACCGCCCCGTTGCCCAGCGCCGAGAGGGCGAAGATGAGCAGCAGCGCGGCCGCTTGCGAGGCCAGCGCCGCCGCCGACCACCCCGCCGCCGCCGCCGCCCCGCCGCTCTCGTTGCCGCCGCCGCCGCGGGAGAGGTTGCCCGGCACGGCCGCCGCCGGCTCCATGCGCAGCCTCATGGCCCGGCCCCGCCGCGGCTGCAGAGGCCCCGCCGCTCCCGGCCCCCCCGGCCGCTGACGTCGCTCGGCCGCCGTTGCCCGGGGAACCGGCCCGGCCCGGCCCGGCTGGACCCGGGGGCGGCGGAGCGGAGCCCTTACAGACGAGCGGTGGGGCCGCGGTATCGCACCCCACACCGGCGTCAGCCCCATCCCGGAGTCGGCGATGGGTCCCCACAGATGTGCTCCCCTGGCAGCTCCTCTCCCCACCACGAAGGACCGGCTACCCCCAGACACTCGGGTGGAGGCCGGGATCACCACCCCGGCTCACCGGGCTGGGGTTTGAGGGGTCATCACTTGTAGGGTTGAGGGATCAGGCCAGGGATCTGCCATGGGCAGCAAGACCCTTTCCCCCCTCTGTCATCCGTGCTGCCTGCCCCTAGCTGAAATTTTTCTTAGGGATGGAGGTAGAGAATAGGTAATGAAGGATGCATCCCAGTTAATGCCTGAAGAGCCTCCAAACGTCCTGTGCTGGGCTTTGTGACTTTCTGTCCCAGCTCCTTCCCAAGAGCCGGGCTGGGGGGCTGGTCAGAAGAGAGATGCCCAGAAGATGAAAACACAGGTAAGAGTGTGCTCCTGGCAAGCTCAGAGGATGTGTGTGTCACTTCTTGTTCTCCTGGACTAGAGGTTGTATGGGACTTAAAAGGGGGTTACAGGAAAGCTGGGAGCAAGAGCCCCAGACACCATCCTAAAAACCCTCTATTGTCAGCATAGCAGTTGCATAAATCAGGATTTTTGTTTCCTCCTGCTACAAAGTTATTTTCAAGCTCACAGAAGAAATTCCTCCCAGGCTTTTCTGTGCCAACCTTATCTAAGTTCACCAGTATGACTTTCTCCCTTCTGCTGCATGAGCTTCTGTGAGATGATCGTTCTCATTTTCATGTCTCATTTTAACAAGTGCCAGTTCCTCCCATGAGTGTCTTCATTTAACAAGCACCATTTTGTCCAGAGACACAGTGGAAGTGACAGACCACCAGAGTGAAGCTCTACTCCTGCCACTGCAAATGCTTGTTTTTTCCCTGGAGGGACTCTGACAAAACAAGCATTGACTGCAATCTGGTGCACAAGCTGCCCCTGGACTGGGACAAAATCAGTAAATAATTAGCAAAGGTCTTAATGGCTCAGACCTTCAAACACAGCTGCTCCTGTTGAAAGTTAACCACAGGGTATTTGCAGCCAGTGGTCCACGATAAGCAAGAGAGGAAGGCTTAGGGAAGCAGCACAGCATGGACACTCAGCAGGAACACAGGAAATTCTGATCAAATAGCTGCATCCAGCCCCTGGGTGCAGGAGAGCCCTGGTGGGGTGAAATGAGTGAGGAAAGGGTTGTCTGGACAGGCTGAGCAGGGAAGCTGGGGCATGAGACAGAGCAGCACAGCTGGCTGAGGAGGAGACAACAAGAGCTAGCAATTCAAACCCAGAGTCATGACATACTCAGCAGAATCCTGCAAATGAGCTCTGAGAGTGAAAACAAGGAAAACGGCAGTTTTCAGTTGGCATTTAAGAGAAATCTAATTTTGAAATTCATAATTTGCAGACATAGAGAAGGCACATAAATTTGAAGGCAGCTCTCACAAGATCAGCTCCGTTTTCTGTGAATTATTGGGAAGAAAAAGAAGAAAACTACTACAGCTTCTCAGAGCAGCTTGTATATGCTAATCATAGTGCACCCAATATGCTAATCACAACAGGGCAACAAGCCTGTTACCCTGAAATGTGACAAATGCTGTCACACCACCCAAGGCTGTTCCTGTTCCAACATGTGGGGAAGCAAACAGAAGTTTATGGGCAGGAGAAGTGCAGCACCATCAGTGAGCCACCATCCATGGCTCGGGTCACTTGAAGAAGAAGCCGTGTTTCAGTGGGTCCTCCTCTTCGACAGTGAAGGTGGCTGTACCAGTATAAAAGGCTTCTCCTGAGACTTCCACAATGACAGCGTTGTAGTTCCCAAACTTGGCTTCCTGCAGGGGGATTAGGATGAGGGTAGAGGCAACAGAAGGTTCTCCACTCTCCCAACCCCACAGAATTCCTGTGCTACCTGGCATTTATGCAGGCACCCCTCCCCGAGCACTCTGTCTTGCCCTGCTACATCCCAAAGTGTGCAGCAGCCACACAAAACAAGGTCCTAAAATCCTCCAAGGGCCAGGTTTGTGGGAGGGCAAGACCTACAGGCACCTCCCTCCTTCCCTACACCCTTCCCCAGGAACAGAAAGGCTTTTCTGCTTCCCCACTGAGCACATTTCCAGCAGCCCTTGAGACAAGGGAAAGCCCAGCACAAGCCACTTGCCTTCACTGCCTTCCCAGTGAACAAGGAGCCCGTGGTGCTGCTCCGGAAGGTTCTGCTCTGGTCCAGCTGGATGAGTCCCTTATGGTACTGCAAGGCAATGCGAGCTGTCACCCCAGAACCTGTCGGACTTCGGTCAACCTACAGCAGAAGAGATGAACCAGCTCTAGATTTTGGGGTTTAATACAAAATGAGATTGCTCCCTTCAGTTCTCTCTGCCACCTTTACACTGCACTTGGGGGAAGCCCCTCCAACCCAGGCTTTTGTAGAGAATTCAGATATATCAGATCTGAGAAGGAAAAAAGAAGCAAGTTTGGGGTACTTTTGGACTGTGATTGGCTTTGGCACAGTTAGGGATGGATGATCTACTTCACACTGAGGCTATTTAGGAACACTTGGAATCTTCCCAGCATCTTAAAAGGACTGAGAGGGGCTAAGGCTACGTGCCCCATTCTCACACCTCAAGGCAAGATTGGTTCTCCTTATGCTGAGGGGACTCCTGGCCAGCATGGTTTTTAAACTCTCCAAAAACACAGCTTCTCAGGTGATCTGTCCCAGTGCTGCATACTCCTCACTGCTAGGAAGTCCAACCAAAACTTCCCCTGCCGTTTAGGTCATACCTTATGCTCTGCAAACAAGAACAGAATTTTAACACCCCATTTCTCTCCTGTTGTTCATCCCTAGCAGATGTTCCCTGGATTAGGACTTCAGGGACATGCACTATGCTGGGTTCCTGTCACAGCCCCTGAATCCTGGATTCCAATCAACAGGTTTTGGATATGAACCTTTTTGAAATGTCACCATCTAAGGTGTGAAGAAGGATTTCTGCTATTAGGAGCAAAACCAGAATTGGCACTCAGCTCTCCAGGGACATGACAGCAGCACAAGCAATCACTGCCCAAACTAAGAATCAGAACAGTCTCTCTTCTTTGCAGAGGATCTAAGGGACAATTGTGGTGCCTCATGTGCCTGAGAAGAGCTCGTTTCTGTACCTGTTCATCTGCAAACACACAGATGTTGGTGGTGGGCTCCTCACTAAAGGCATCTTTCCCATCTGTCAGTATGGTGCCATAGAGGAAAGCCAGGTCTTCACTCTCAGGGTGATGAAGCTTGAACTGGGAACAGCACAGAGAGGGTCACAAATGCACGCAACAGCAGCAATGTGTGCAGTGCAGCTTCTGTGAGAGACCAGGGGAGGGGACAAGGCCACATTACTGCATTTCCACCTCTGCTTTGCAGGTAACAGAAAAGCAGGAAGGCTCCTTCTCACATCCTTGTTACAGACTGAAATTCAACATGGGGCCAGGAGGATGGGACTCTCCCACCATGCTGAGCATCTCAGTCTGGTGCAGTCACCCCAAAGGGAACATGCTGGGATACCACAGTGCTCATCCATACCTGCTTCTTCACCGCTTCTGTCACTGCACTCGCTGCACTGACAAGGTCTCGGGTCTTTGAAGAGCACACATCAAGGCCCAGCTGCTCGGCACTGAGGAAGGCGTAGAAAGTGCCACCGTAGCCAATGTCAACCACCACCTTCCCATGGCCAGGGACATCAATGGCCAAGTCTGAGCAGAAAAAGGGAGGAACGTGAGGAGCTAAAACTGTGCGAAGCCATGGGCTCGCAGAGAGTGAAGGAACCCAGTGGACGGGGATGGTAACTTGAGTATTCCTATGGCGTCTTACAGAGCTCATCACCTTGATGACCTCCGAAGAACTAGGGAGATAACTGCCTGATGGCCCTCAGCCAGGCCACCACCAACCACCCCACAAAACCCGACGGTCCCCACCGGTGGCGGCAGCGAAGGCGGGCACGCTGTGGAAGCGCACGGGGTTGCCGCTGCGCTGGCCGTCCCAGGGCACGAAGGCGGTGACGGGCCCGCAGGGGCAGCGCAGGCGGACGGCGGTCTCGGGCCGGGTGGGCGCCGGCACCAGCCCGTAGTCGAGGGCGAAGCGGCCGAGGGCCATGACGGCGTGGCCGCACATGGCGCTGTAGCCGGCGCAGTGCAGGAACAGGGCCGCCAGGTGCGCGCCTTCCGCGGCCGCCCCGCCGCGCACCACCACGGCCCCGTACATGCCGGCGTGGCCGCGCGGCTCGTGCATCAGCGCCCGCCGCACGTGGTCCTGCCCGGCCGCCACCTCCCGCCGCAGCGACAGCAGCGACAGCCCCGCCGCCGCCGCCTGCTCCGCCGCCTCCAGCCGCGGGATGATGCGCAGGGGCTCGCCGCCCGTGTGCATCTCCACCGTCTGCAGCACCGCGCCCGAGGGAGAGTGCGGCGGCAGCGCCCGTCCCGTTCCGCCACTGCCACCGTCACCGCCGCCCTGCGCCGCCATCGCGCCCGCTCCGCCGGGGCGGGGGCGCGCCCGCGCCACAGACCACACCCCGAGAGACCACGCCCACAAACGAGAGACCACGCCCCGTTTTGCCCCCTCAGCATGACGTCACGCGCACGTCGCGCCCACATAATGCAGTCCCGCCTCATAGCCACGCCCACATCCGTAACCGCGCCCCCAGACCGCGCCCCCGGAGGCCCGGGGAGCCGGCCCGCGGCGGAAGCGGAAGCGCCGCGCCGGAAGTGCCGGGGAGGCGTTGCTGGGTTACCGCGATGTTCCGCGCCGGTAGGACCGGCCGGGATGGGGCACCGGGACGGGGCTGGGAATGAGGGTGGGGGTGTGGATGGGGTTGAGGTGTTGTCAGCGGCTGGAGCGGGCCGGGACTGGCTTTCGCTGCCTCTTCCGGTAACGCGGCCCGCGCCTTCCCCGCAGCTGTGGACATCCAGCCCGCCTGCCTCGGGCTGTACTGCGGCAGGACCGTGCTGTCGGTGAACGGCTCCGCGGAGACGTACGGGGACTGCGGGGTAAGTGCGAG